ATTTCATATCATCCATTTATAATCATTGAAAAAAGATGCCCTGGAGATTTATATACACTTGTATTCTCCTTGTGGAAACAAAAAAATACCAATTAAATTTATCTCATATCTTCCACGTGGGTCCAAAATCTATAATTTGTCTTTTGATATTATAATACTGCCATCATTTTTATTTTAGGGTGGCCTGCCCACATTTATTAATACACCTTACGGAATACTGTGTTCATCACATTTTTATTCAAAATTTTGTGATTCTTAATAACCAGTCTTGGGCAATCGTGACTTAATAACTATAAAGTTTCAAATTCGACTCCTTAAAGGAGTTACATATTGGCCTTCGCGCTTTAATTTGACTTATTAATTATGAGCAATCTAAATTGGTTTGTCTCCTTGTGGTCCTGCTAGAGTCACAAGACAAATTTTACTCGACCTTTTCGGTTTGAGTCGGTAAACTATGGACAATCTAAATTGACTTCTTTGTGAATTGTGATCATTTACTGACTAAGGTTACAAGAAAAGCTTCACATAAACCATACATTTGAGCAGCGAGTGCTGACTTTCTTGTAAATCAAAGGTAATAATTACCCACACTATCTCATTTCACGTGTTTGACTCAACTATTGAGATTCTAACAAATTTATTTACAATTTAAAATTTGTAATATTTAGTTTAGTGTTAATGTATAAAATTTATATAATTAAAAATTAAATTAAAATTACTATTTAATTCAAAAAAAAAACAAATTGAATTTTAATATTATAAGAAACACCAAAGTAATATTTTTTAAAAAATAGTAATTGTATCGGCTTTTTAGTGATTAGATAGCACTTTCATGTTTTAAAGTATAGTATTGTTGAACGAGTCACACATATTGATGTGTATTTTAACTTTAAATTCTTTCAATAATTCATAAATATCATCTGAATATTGTAATTTCCCGATCATTTTGATGGAAAAAAAAATTGTACTTTACTGATAAAAGTTAATCGTAAACAACACAAATGTAGGATAATATTAAAATACAATTCACATACAGCATATATTGTCACGGACAAGAGAGTAGAATGCAGTCGGTTTGATGGCTACCAACTAAACGTGTGTGTGCGCAGGTGCGTGTGCGTGTTAATAAGAATCCCTCCTCCCGTGAGAACTTGCGAACTTGTATATAAATGCATACAATCTCATATTTCAGTGCACAATGTACACAAATCTATCCTGAAATAATTTGTGTGAATTTATGTAGACGATTATGTACATTCATATTGATTCGCAGGTTCTCACGAGATGATGTGCTCTCATTGATCATTAATATATATCTATACACGTATACTCCGTATATACCTGCTGATGTGGTCCTGGTGGACCTAAAATAACATAAATCTGTCCCAATTTGCAATAGCAACATGTCATAAATGCCAAGCTCTCAAATTCTGAGAGTCCGTGAACAAAGAATTTTCTAAGCCAAAGTGCAATGTGCAATTAAGCCATCCACAATCCCAGCCGTCAGTCGTGGAACCATTTCTGCTGCCTCTTCCATCCCAATGGCTAATGTTGTCGTCCTAACTCCTAACAACAGGGCATCCTTCTACATCCACTTCCCACAGACATACCTCTAAACTCTAAACCCCCCCTCAAATGAAAGTAGTTGGTGAGGTTCAACGCTCAAACACATGCTTCAGAATGATTCTGACCCTTCCCACAATATCCTGTTCCTTGCATGAGGTAACCAACACAACTGCATAATTAAAAACAAGTAATCATGTATCAACCAGGACTAATACACCAAATATATATATATATAGAGAGAGAAAATACATCATAGGACAGGCTCATTGATCCCCCTTGCATACAACAAAGTCCATATTGTTTTTGTTTTCCTAATGTACCAATATGGATACAACCCTACAACCTCAACCAACTTAACCAAGTTGTTGATTTTGTAACCACAAAATTACAAGTTCAACTTCCAATTGGAGCAGCCTATCGGTCTTCTTGATTTGAGCTGGTCAACCTAGATTGGTTTACTTCCATGTAGTTCTTTGCCACCAAGATCACAAGGTGGAGTTTATTCAGTGCATACCCTCGGGTAGTAGCTAAGCCGGGGCTTGCAAATTTTTCTCGTCACCCGTACAACGATAATTATAACTGATATTATTGACACTAATGTCGATAGTAACCGTTATAACAAAAGTAATACATATAATTATACTTGATACTATCAATATTGATCAAGTGATCAACATAATATATTACAATCAATTAACATATTATTTGAATTAAAATTAGTGTTTTTAATCTAAATATATAAATAAATAAGCATGAACAAAATATAATTCATAATACAGTAGAAATAAACAGACAAGCATATAGTTTTTGTCTGTATTATGGAAAGCAGAACAAGTCTTTGATGTCCTGAAATGACAAAACCTTTGGACATTGTCCACCAGCTCACCTACCACTTTTCACCCAAACTAAAAGGCACTATCGTTGATTACCAGAACAGGAATGAACGTACAATTCGGAGTAATTCTGGACAGTGTTTCAGACTTACAGAGAGGGAAAAACAACACGAGGATAGTGACAAAAAATTAATACTATATTGAATAGTAGTTGGAGATTAAGGCCCCAGTAATATCAATTGCCACAGACAAAGGGGAATACTAAACGTTGCAAATGGTGGGTCGAAGTGGGCACTCTAAACCTACCATATCTGATATACTACTCTCATATAATTATTGAGAATCATATAAGTCACTAGTTTTAATAATAATAATAGTTCATTAAGTCCCTTTCTGATGAGGACAAATACAGCAAACCAGCAAGGCATTATACTTTCATAGTTTCATGGCAACCAGCAGTATAAGAAAGAAGAAACACACTAGAGAAAATATGAATGTGGACGGTGCGGATATATTTGACCCAAGGCCACCTACCTCAGTCTCTACACTAAGTTGAAAGCTATGTTTGACCGAGTCAGATTGAAGAGAGAGTGAGAAGATCTGTCCTATTGTTCCTTTGGCAATAAATACACTGGACTTTTGAATGGAAATAATAAATTCTGAAGGTTCAGCACTGGCTTCATTTTTAAAGCTGGAACAGAACATGATTAGTACACCTCAGAAAGCAAGATAAAGGTGTGCATGTCTTGTCTAAACAAGGATTGGTCAAGCAATTCTGAAATTTTCAGGTTATTAAATGCCACAAGGTTCATGTGCATCAGTTTGAGAAAGCCAGACACTATTTTATGCTTTGCAGACAATCAATGAAAGCAGATATCTAAGGACTGTACTGCTGGTTGATTGCAAATCAATGGAACCCCTCCCTCTATAGCACTAATTACCTAGAGGCTTTGAGCCTAAACAATATTTTCAGCCAATTAAAACAAAACAAGACTGGGACTGTAGGAGATGTAAAATCCAGGAGACCTTTATCTTAGGTAATAATAATTTAGTATAAATGCATACTCGTTTTTCAAGATGATGAATATACAGATTTCTCTAAAGCCAAATATGGCTTAATGATTTGGTCTGAAAAGTGAATACATTTAGATTGGATCTATATAATAATACAGTGAAAGGGTAAGGATAAAGAGAATGAATCTTTAAAATATGAGTTAGGCAGAGGAGAGGGGGTCGTGAATGTTGAACTAGGGTCTAGGTACACCTTTGTAATCACAAAACCCAACCCTATATGACCAAAAAAACTGAATGGACAATGTGTAAATTAAGATCACAAATTTGCATTAATTTGATAGAGAATTCATATATAGAGGACAATGGAAAAATTTAAGCTAAAAGAAAAAGTTTGATCATTTGGTTTCTGGGCTGAACTAAGACAAGGGCAAAGTTCAGGAAACCTATAGGCCCAAAGGCACAAATTAAGAAGGCAGGGAAAGAATCTAGAAGTGTGATAAAATAAACAACTTTCTTTTTTCAAATAAAGCCCATAACCAAGCAATTGCATATGTAGCATGTTCAGAATCAAGTATGTTATTGCTACAATAAGAAAACAGTGTATGGGTGCATCAAATACAGCTGATCCTACATTGAACCAGAGGTAGGAAACAGGCACCTGAGACATGCACTTAATTCTTTTATTGGAAGAGAGCGTGAAAGAAAATGCAAATAAATAATAATAATAATAATAATAATAAAACAGAGAAAGTAACTGCAAATATCAAAAGAACCATCTAAACTACACCCTAACTTAACAACAGAATGAGAAATAGAATTTGTGGAAAACATACCTTTTCAATTTAATTAATGACATCATGTATTTAAAATAAACCAGGCAAAAAAAAAAGGGATCAATAAATATGTAGCACAATCTTACCCCAAGGGAGAACAGGGAATTCCCACCTTTGTACTGGAACTGTAATAACATACGTGGCAACCTGCACAAGCAATGGTAGACTCAAGATGGAATATTCACAAAAAAAAAAAAATGCTGGATCAGTATGTTCTGAATCAAGTAAAATAGAAGAACCATGCCAATATAGATGCAGCTAAACAATTAGAAGTATTGAAAAGATCCAAAAACTCCTCCTTTTCATAAAGTAGGTCCATGATATCCATGCAAGCTTCAAAATTCATATGTTCACCAACCCGTGCAACATCCCTAAAATAGCAGAAAGAAAGGGAGAGGAGTAATCACAAAGAAAAGGGAATACAGTTATACAGTTGATAACTAAAAGATAGCAAAATAATCACAATTTTTTTTTTTATAAACAAAAATAAAACTCAAGAAGTCAGAAATAATTGTCAACTCCAATTTTGGCAAAACACTCACTTCAATTGAATAACAAGATCCTCCAGGAATCTATAAGCAATGTTTGACACGCCAATCTCAAATTTCAGTACCTTGTGAAAAAAGAAACATATATATAGACTAAGTATATAGAAGATGTGTCAATGTGTCATGCAGAAGAGAGAACCAATCACAACTTGGCCTACTCCCCAAACCCCCCACCACTTTCGTCTCCCACAACATGAAGAAAAATGTCAAGAGAGACTGAGAGAGAAAGAGAATGAAACACAAAACTAATAAAGAATCATAATAGTACTAAATAACATGATAGTTACCTGCATTAGCAATAATTCCTGCAGAGTATCTTATTCAACCATCAGGACAATTAGAAAAGCAGTGGCACACACCCTTCAAACATTATAGAAAATAGATAGCTTACAGCTTCCAAAAAGTCCCTTGTTGTAAAATGCTGCTCTGTAATACTCTTGTCTCCTAATGACTTTAAACACTTGACAGATAGGGGAGGAGACATGTGTATCTGAAAAGGGAGATGAAACTCCATGGTTACTTTAAAAAGAAATAGAAATTAAAGAGAATAGGAAAACATGCAGAAAATGAAGAAAAAACAAATATTTGATATGTAGCTTACTTTGCAAGAGATCCATACAGAAGCAAGAGCAAATAACTGCAAGTTGCTTTCTCTCATGGGATCTAAAAGCCAGTTTTCTTTGTCCATGCCCTTTCTGAATGTCAGGAAGTTAAAATCTCTTATTATACCGTTATACTGAAAATTAAACAATCAACATTCATAATAATTTAATCACACATTCGAACCTACTAGCAGCTACTCCATTTCTTTTTTCTCCTACTATTGGGTTACCACTTGATAAAGCATCACATATACACGAGATGATAATTCGCCAATGAAAAACTCGATTAGTCATATGCAGCCCACTACCCACAGTTTCAACTTTCTTTTGCTTTAAGTATGGTCAACAGTACTAACAGCCTAACACTAATGGCAAACAATCTAGTCTCTCCAATAAACCTCTGTAACCCAGACAAGGAAATTCAACTGGGGTACTAGTACACCTTCCTGATTTCTTAACTATCATCCGAACTCATAGTAAATTCAGCAACTTCTGAACATAACGGCCTTGGGTCTCTATGAATTGATATGGTGAAACTCATACAATTATATATCCTATCCTGATATCAAGAGCAAGTTGAACTTTTGACCAAAGTCTTCATTCACCCTTCTTTTGTTTTGCGCAAGTTGAACTTTTGACCAAAGTCTTCATTCACCCTTCTTTTGTTTTGCTGGTCAAGCTATGAATCTTATTTCTGTCCACAGGACCTCTCCATAAGATCCAACTTCCTACCGTTGAATTTGGAAGATGGAATGGCCTGGCGGGTGGAGAATAACACCACCCGCCAGTTAGGCAGAAGCAATACTGAATAATCAGGAATGAGAGAATGTATATAAAACTAAGATATTATAATATATTCAATATTCTCTGTTTCTAATACAGAAACACAGTACATATATATAGATACAAACACATAACTGTAAGTAACTACCCATAATCGAAACCTATTCATAAACAGACACAACCCTATAGATATACCTAACTCTTTATTTTTCAACACCTACCACCAAGTTATAGTATATTTAGTTTTTTCATCTTTATTTACTTTTATGCCATAGCAGCCCAAATTCTCACCATTTACTTTTGATCTCATGTATACAAGTTGATCTTCTATGTTTCCCTATAATCTTGGTTTAACTTTATTCCAACATTTCTTCACCCTATCTACTTAGAATATCTCCAAGAACCATAGTCAAAAAAATTACAGCCTTTGTCTCTACAATTGTTTTAGCCTTCATATCTACCTTCAACACTAAGGGTTGTTCAACAAATATACAGCCTTGCAATGCTTTCCTGTTGTTGCACCTAATCTGTTTTTTTAAACTTCAATCCTTCTCTCTTCCCATATCTGGCCCTCTTCATACATAAAGCACATTCGTTTGTGATGTTACTGCCTTGGACAATTGTTATTATCTTTATGCTCTCCAATAAGGCAAAAACAGTTTAACAATTGTTTTTTCTGTTCTTGTCTGTATTTTCCTCTTTAAAACTATTTTGAATTTTCATTACTGGAAAAAGGGTTAAGAATTATTGATGACAGGATTTTGTTTCCACCTTCAAGAAAAATGTTTTTACCATTATTGTTTCTTATTTATTGTCCTTTAAGTATGTTTTACTTGTTCTTCACCCCACCCCCCCCACCCCCCCCCCCAAAAAAAAAAAAAAAAAAAAAAAAAAAAAAACAAAACAAAAACAAAAACAAAAGCAAAAGCAAAAAAAAAAAAAAAAAACCACTTATTTGGAGGTTCTGTTGTACCTACCAATTTTATGAATTCGATTTTGTATTACATGAATTACAGATATGCACAAGTCTGGATGACTGGATCACAGTTCATTTCTTTGCATCTAATATAAATCAGTTTATAATTATGGTTTTGTTAATCTTACTATATCTATTGTGTCTAAGTAACTAGCAATCCACTTCAGGAAACAAAAAGCTTATTGAATAAGGTACCTAGAAAATAGGTGGAAATTAAGCTTATCATCCCACCAACCACTAATAATCCTTATTTATATAAAAAATGCTCACTCTCAAACACATACTACCCAATCTCTGTGAGGAAGTCAATCAGAAGCACCACCAAGTCCATTGGAGAAGTAGAATAAAAGAAGAAAAAATAAAAATAAAAAGAGAAGTTCATTAAGAAAAGTCATGAGAGCACCATTACCTACTTCAGTCATTAAAGCATGTTAATCAATTAATCCTAAATAACTCCCTTTAGCCTAATTGTGACACATGGTGGCTTGAATCAAACTAATTACCCCCTAAACAATTTTCTTTAGCCTATTTCTAACCCATAGTGGCTTAAATCAAGCCAATTATCCTACTGAAGGCCTTGTAGTTCAATGGCATAAAACTCCGTATAAAGGTCTCATGTTTAGTCTCCATCCCCATTCTCCTCAATTGTTAAAGCTTTGAAACATTGCTGTTCCTGCATTTCATGGGACAAGTCTAGGATTCCTACTAGCATCAAAGACTCACTGTATACTAATTGACGGCATGGCTTCCAGATAAGAATAAAACTTTGGGAAACTCATTTAGAGTATTATGAACCCATTAAGGTAATGTTAGTCTAAGAAACCCAAGGTCTTTTCAATAAATTCAAGAAAATATTGTTGCATCACTTGCATGGAATTGGCCTATTAATAAATTATACAGGCATCATTATGGAAAAACAATAAAAAGCATAATAAAGAATCTTCTTAATTAGCACCAATGATATTATAAGGAAAACTTCCTGGTCTATAATAACACAAATTCCATAATATAACACATTTGTTTTATTTTCTTTTCCCCACTTCAAGCCACTTTGACACATGCAAACTAAAAGTAAAACTTGGAAGTGTATAATATTTCCTATATATTATCGGTTTCTTCCTCAAGATCATCCTTTCTTTACCCGCTCCAAATGGATAGTTCTTGTCTAGAAGCATACTTATGATGCTCCCATCATAAGTCCCTCAGTCACAATGATCCCTGACTTGCTCAATCAATCAGCATACTATGAGCTCAGGCTCAAATAACCATATAACACTCAATGAACATAATTCACAAGCTTAACGAACATTTCACTTCAATGATGAATGTGAATTACAATTGCGATGAACATTCACCAAATGCTTGGTGAGGCATTGGTGAGACTAGGTTCGTGATTTGTCTTGCTCGTTAGCACTCCAGTACAATTCACTATTTCCAACTATACTTCAACTTTATATTAACCAATTTTTTAAATACTAATGATAATTAACAGTATATTCACAGCAAAAACCAAGTAGAATTACAAATGCTTTAATAATCAACTGAGTTATTGAACATACACAAAATTTCTATATGAAGAACACTTTTCCAGCTTTTCGTAATAAACAATATGCTAAAGATATAAGAAATGAGTAACAGAACATTCATAAAGAAAAGAAAAAATGTTTCTACCTGGAGAGAGAGGGGTAAAACCGGTCGGCGAAAAGCGAAAGCGCGGAGTATTTGACAATCGGAGAGACATGCAGATCCTTTTCCAATACATTAATTGAAAGCAAACAAAATTAAAATCAAAATTAAGGATGAAAAAAAGTTGCAGAGATGAAGTTTTGAAAGGTTTACGTGAGCGGACTGGATAAGAAATCCCAGCACACGACGGCGACGGAGCAATGCATCGTTCTTCATCTCTCGCCTTCTCCCTACGTAGACTCTGCACTTACACTCTGGAGGGAGTTTTGAAAATTGAAATGAGATTTGCCGGTATAATTTTTGTATGGAGCCCCTGGAGTTTGTGATAATACCACTTTCAACCTCTTATAGTCCTTTATTTTAAATTAAAATTCCATTTACGACCAATAAACTATACAATTTTTGTTTTTATTTATGAGAAATCTCGTAACCGTTATCGATAAAATTAATAGATAATTCTCATGAAGAATATAACTTGTACGTGTTAGACATTCAACGCCCCACCTTTTTAACCTTATTCGTTTTCAATTTCAAATTGTCTCTATTGATAAAACTCAGTTATTCCATTTCAACAACTCACGTTCATATGAAACTATGATAATAATTATGAAATGTATTGGTAATTGTATTCCCAATTTTATAATATTAACTAGTAAATTATTGTTCGATACACGGATAAATTTTTTTATTATATATTTATATAATAAAATTAAATATGAAATTATAAACAAATATAATATTTGAAAGTGTACATTTATTTAATTATAAGATTAGCGTAAAAGTATCACCAATTAATTGAATAGTATATGACTCGGTTTTCTGCAATTATCTTAAAAAAATTGATATTGTAATATGATTTAGGCAATTACATTATTACTAAAATAAATATGAGAAAAAAAGGGGAAAATAATTTTTTTAAAAGGCATTAAGCTGTGAAAAAATATGGAATTAAATCACCTAATTTAGAACGGTTTTGTTCCCATATATGATTTATGTAATTTTAATTGTAAAATAAATATATTTCAAAAAAAAAAAAAAAACATTAGACAATAGTTTGGAATTAAAAATACTTGAAATTAAAATATGGGAAATTTCATTACTACTATTATAAACTAGTAATTCACTCGCGCAATGCACGGAAAAAAATGATGTTATTATAAATATAAATAAAAAATAGAAAAAATAAAACTATTTTAAATTATTTAATATAATAATATTTTTGAGCTTCCATCGGTCAAGTATTTATTATTTTTATAGAATACAAAATTACAATTAAAATTAAAATTAAAATTTTGTATGGTTAATATAATCTCTAATTATGTACATATTCAAATAAACTTCTAGAGAGAATTTACATTATTACATTGATTTATTCTTAATTATATTTCATCTATATTACAATTTTCACAATACGAATATTAATAACTAAGATAATTACATTTAGAAAGCAAATTTCAAATTTTGTATGAGTAAATTTAAAATAAATGTAATCCTTTGTTATGGGGGAGAAAAAATAGCTAATTTTTTTTTCAAATGTTGTGCTTTTGTTTTTTTTTTTTTTTTTTTTTTTTATAGTAAAGGATGTTGTGGCTATTTTATAATAATAATAAGGATAGAGATAATAATTGTAACAATAATTACTCACCAAAATAATAATTGTAATATTAATTACTTCCCAAATTAAACCATATAGCTTTATTATAGTTAAGATTTGTGTTAGAAAGTAAAAAAATATATATATAAGAAATTAAATAATAATTATAATATTAAAATATGATAATATAATACGACCAAATTTTTACAAATTTTGAAAAACTTTCTTGTATACAATGATTATTGTTGAAGTTGTTTTATTGCTTTCACTGTTACAAATCAATATTTTCAACTCATTTGGAGTAGTGTAAATTTGTATGATTTTTTAAAAGGAAAGTGCAAGTAAGATAATTAACACAAATGCAAATTAAGAAATATTAACCTCATTAATAAATTACACACATACATGACATGCATGACATAAATAATTAATGCATAGATTGCATACTGTTAATTATGGTAAAAATTTGTGTGAAATCGTATCATGGATCATTATCCGTGAGACGGGTCAAGTCAAAATGAAATGTAATAATATTTATACTAGCAAATGTAATACTAAATCATGAATAAAATGTTTAGTATTTATACGGAAAAATATAGTACTTTAGATGAAAAAAGTAATACTTTTACATCAAAATATAAAAGTATTATATTTGTCCTCAAAATATTATGTTTCCCTTATAAATAACAAACATTTTATTCCTGATTAAGTATTACACTTGCTAGTATAAGTATTACATTTGCATTTTGATCCAATCCGACTTATCTCACCGATAAAAATCCGTGAAACGATTTCTCACAACTGTGACATGTTAATTATATATATGTGTAGGCTAAAAATATCCTGAGGATTTCTAAAATTCCAAGTTTCAAAACTATATAGTATTATAAGCATGATGTCACATTCAGCCATTCAGGTATGGCAAATTGAACAAATGGACAATTTGTTTAAGCATGATAGTTTATTGTCATTATTAATTATATTATATATTTGGTAATGTCATAAGTAGAGAGTTTGGATTATATATAGTGGTTGGAGATTGGGCCAAAGCTTGCAAATCATGCAATAAACAATGGATTGACAACATAATATGAAATGGTGGCTGAAAACAACATGTACAGTGGCTTGTTTGTTTGGATCAATACATGACATAAAACACTGTAGAGATGTCAGCTACACTTTCAACAAGCCTCCAAACAAGAATAATATGTGCAACTTGGACTCGACCCTTGCCAAATTAGCTTGGTAACTATAATGTTTCAAGTTCGACTTTATGTGAAAGTTGTCTATTGATCTTAATGGTTTGAACTGATTATTAACTATGTGCACCCTAGATTGATTTATTTCATTGTAATCATTTGTTGGCTAAGATCGATCACAAGATATACTTTATCAGAAAACACATTTAAATAGTGACTGAAGTTTTTTGTAAATTAAAAAATAATAAGTCCACCTTGGTGCCTATTTCCCTTTGTAAGTACATACCTTGTTGTATGAGTCTGGGATTTATTATATATTATTTAAAGTTTTGGCTTATTTTATATATTACATAACTAAATTAGGTGATGTTATGTTATTAGGTTTTTTATTTTCAAATTTATTTAATTTGGAAAATATGATGTATTTTATTAGGTTTGGCGACAGTACTATATATATCTTTTAAAAAAAAATAGTTGTAGTTGTAGCTATATTTAATAAATAAAGATTATAATTATCATTTAGGCAATAAAATCTAATGTGGGATTGAAAAATGTGTTGTATAATTAATTGTAAGGCTTATTGGTAAACAATTTTAAATCTTTATCACTCGTCAATCGTCATAATCTTTAAATTTTGACACAAATTATATCCTATTATGAATATCCTATTATGAATAATAATAATTATATATAAATCTTTGATTTTTTTTATAAATTAATATTCAACATTTATGAACCCAACAGGGTAGCTCAAGTGGCAAATGAACTCTCTTTGTGGGGGAGAATTCCGGGATAACCCGGGTTTGATTTCTACAAGTGACGATTCCCTTTGGGCCAACTTCTGTGCCTCTCGGAGCGAACCGGGTGGACCTGGACCGTTAAACGGACAAAGAAAGACTCGGATCACAGTGTGTGGTTTCCACCAAAAAAAATATTCAACATTTATATTTTGTGATATATATATATATATATATATATATATATATATATATATATATATATATATATATATATATTGATAGATTTAATTAATCCGGGGTAGCCCGAATCAATAAACCCGATAAATAAGGAATGTGTAAAGGCGTAGGCAAAATAGAACAAATGTGTATCGTAGGGTCGTAGGGACCGAATACTGCATTAGATAATAATTATCGAGCTATTACAAGGTGAATGTAACGCTATCCTTCACTCCGGAAAGGTAGGTTCCATACCGACAAGACCCCCTACCCTAGAATCGGCTCATTTCACTACAACGGTAGTTTTAAGACAAATAGGATAGAATAATGTAAGGGATAGAGAATATGTCCTAATGGGACAAAGTATGAGGTTTTTATACAAAATAAACCCCCAATCGGCCCACCTAGACCGGGGGTGGTTGCATCTCCCGTGCGGACCGGGTCCGCAGGTTAGGCGTGCAGAGCTCAACATGGCCAAACTCATCAGGCCGAGCTCAAATGACCGAGCTCACCATGGTTGAGCTCATATGGCCGAGCTACCATGGTCAAGCCCGCCATGTGGGCGAGCTCACCATGGCTGAGCTCACATGGACGAGCTCACCATGACCGAACTCACCATGGCCGAGCTTATTATGGTCGAGGTGCCTTGGACCGAGCACGGGGCTCAACTTCGGAATCCCGAATCCATTCTATACTTCCTTACTCCGCTTTTCTGGGTTGGTTTACTCCGATATATATGTGTATATATATATATATATATGTATATATATATATATAGAGTCAAAGATCAAATTGAATTGGGACTTTATTTAGAATAATTTGTGCTCCCCAAGACACCAACCAACCAATTTGATCTTTGACAAAATTTACAGCTAAGTCGCATGTGCCTTCTTGTTTTGGGAATCTATACTAAAAGAGACTGATATACTTTAGGATACCGAAAAATACTTTGATAAATTCTAAAGAATTAATTTAAAAATATACATTGAACATTGAACTATTCACGCAATGCGCGTGTGGTAACTAGTTGATCATCATATTAGATAAAGGGGAATAGATTTATATCATCATTACGCGTTTTCATAAATAAAAACTATGAACTAAGATAATTGATCATGCAAAGAAAACAGAAGGATAGCTAGATTTATTATTACATTATCCATTCATTTTTCATTTCGAAAACACGTAGCAGTATACTATTATATATGAAACATATAATTTTGTGTGAATATATTCCGTGGGTATATATATTATGTGTGTATATATATATGGATGGATCAACTAATGTGCAAGCTCAATCTTGCATTAGAATATTGGAAGTGGTCATGATAGTCATCTGCAGGTTCTGATGAATGCACCTCTAACCGATGGGTGATATGCTCAAACCTTTCAGACAGGAAAAAATTTCTCAATTTTTTGAGTCTTGACACTTTCACTTCTGCACTGAAAATTGCCCTAACTGGCCTGTGATCTGACATTTTCGATTCACCTCTCCCATATTTGTGTTGCTTTAGCCCTTCTCCAAACCAAATTATCCTATCACACCTGAAAAATATGTACGTAATTCAGAAAGATATGATCGTGTTAAAAATATAGCCATAAGTTGTCCCATTATTAGGTAGGTTTGCTTTTTCGCTGGTTAAGAATTCTCAATATTAATTCATTCCGACCACCATGAAGCGATTTTAGGTGGACCGCTGACCCACTTGACACATTGTAATCTAGTGGCACGAAGTGACTCTTTCACATGGAAAGTCATAGGTTTGAGTCCCCGTGAAAAGCGATCATTGACTCTTTGTTTTTTAGTATATATGTTAAAAAAGTAATTATGAACAGATACTACATTGTAACAGAGTCACTCTTTGTTTTTCAATATGTTAAAAAAAAATAGTTATGAACAGATAGTACATTGTAACAGAGTCAGTAAAGTTAATTACCATGCGGGGGCGCGCTTCTTTTCACCTTTTTTACCATTTACAGCGCCATAATATCCATCGGAATTAGGATAATACTTGTAAGTGGGAGCAAATTTTATCATCCCTTCATGCCACCCTTTGAATACTTGACCGTCCAGCATTTCTGACCTTAACTGCAAATTAAATGTGAAAATTTAACATTAATTTATATGTATCAAAATTAAAATTTTCCAATAAAGAAATGCATATATACCTGGTCATATTCGAATAGTGTATTAAAATCTCCTTTATCTATCAATAATCTTGTCGCAGTTTCTTGAAGGGAGATTCTGTAGTTCAAATCTCCAAGAAAAATCACTCGGCTGCACCACCAAAATAAATAAATAATATAAATTTTATATATAAATAAATATAAATTATATATATATATATATATATATATATATATATATATATATATATATATATATATATATATATATATATATATATATATATTTCTAATTAGGTGAGAACCAACCTTAAACTGCGAACTGCGAATGATTTCACCGCAACTACTACATAATTGCACTGCTGCGACTCCCAGACATGCCGGGAGGATCTTGTAGTGCAATCATGTAGTAAGTGCGGTGCAAACATTCACAAGTTTGCAGTTCGAGGGTTACTGGAAAATAAGGAGAAAAAAAAAAGACAGGTTAATTTTATAAATGTTAAATATGTAAAATTTTACAATATTTATAAAAATGACTATCACTGTTTCCCTTATTTTTCAGCAATATCCAACCATTTGATCTATCGAGATGAATGAATCATATTAGTCTTCACTTTTTACGTGAGAGTCTCTCCTCTATATATATAAACAAAATTAGGTGGAGTTGACATCACAAACATGTTGTTTTAACAGTATAAAACATGCAAATTGCTTCATAATCTATTATTTTCCTAATTAATTAATAAATTACAATAATCTGTCCAATCTGGAAAGTCAACATGATCAACCAGGAAAACGTTTGTATACTACAAGACAGTTTACCAATTGGATGTTTATTTTATTTAATTTTTTAACTACTAGTCTACTACCAATCAAGAGCATAAGACCAAAACTCATGTGGTCCAACATAACTACCAAAAGTAATTAACCAACAAATTCCACCATTAAAATACTCCTAAAAATGGGATTACCATAATCATACAATGTTAATCCCAATTTGATTGGCGGCATGTATTGATAAAGACAACGTAGTTTTACTGTGAATCTGTGATTAGCACCTAATAATGATAATTATATTGGCGGTCGTGATAGTAATTAAATGATTATTGTCTTGTCCCCATTAGGGTTGATAATCATGTAATTAGAGGTGATTAAACAAATGAGATTTATCTTCAACCAATGGATTGGACGGTTTTAGATTACAATTAAACTAATCACTTAAATAATCCCTTCCACTTTATACTTACTTTGGTGATCAATTAAACTACCCTCCTAGTCAAATAATTATAGTAAATTACTGGGACAGTGATTTTATCATTTTTTACTTTGACTTCCAAATTTGTTCCATCACTTGTGTTATTAGACAAAATCAGAAGTTCATACCAAAGTGGTGATCAATTAAATAATTACTGAAACACTCCCTCGACTATTATGATTTCTTCATTTTTGCCTCCAACTTCCTCAGACAAAGTCAGAAGTCGAAAATCAATTTAAAGTGGCATAGTGATCTGATCAAAATTATTACAGCCCAGAGACCATTTTGATAATTTATTCCAATAATTAGGGAAAAAAAAAAACAAATAAATAAATTTGTACTTACTCGTGATCTTGGATTTTTCTTGGCAGTTCATGTGAAGGGCCTTTGGGAAATGTTGTTCTTGACAGTATTTCTGCGGCGTTAGAGTTTCTGAATTTCTCATCTCCTTCCCTGCCACCTGAAGCCAGATGGCTGCACACAAAGCAAAAGCTTGTTTCATGCAACCTAAATCTAACCGAAACAGCACCCTGCAACAAACAACATATATTTATAATTCTGAAAGATCTAATCTGAGGATCGGATATCTGAGGATGATCGTGACGATTAAGAATACCATGAAAGAAGGAAGCGGAGGAGGTTTTGATCTGAGTACCTTGTTGCCCAAGCAACCCATGATGCCACAACCCACGCACGAAACGCTAGGGTTACGCACAAACAACCGATGTTCATTTCGGATCCACACAGAGATCAGAATCCCAACCATTTGCTTGCTGATAATACATCTGAATTCTTCATTATTATTATTATTATTATTATTATTATTATTATTATTATTGTTCCCTTTAGTCTGCTCATCACTGTTTCCTTCATCTATGGCTGCTTTCTTGTTCAAAGCTCTTCTGATTATGGAGTTCCACTTTGATGAAATCTTTCCACTTTCTGAACCCAGAACTTTCTTCGTCCTCAAAGGAACAACTTCTTGAAACCTATATTATATTATGCATAATTTAATCCTTGTTTCCGAGAATACTTAACTTTCTTTTCTTTTAGGTAACTATATATGTGTGGTAAACTTCAACTTGTAACCCGTCTTAGCTTCCCTCACAGTCACTATTTGAGGGTATACGTGCACGGGATAAACCCCACCTTGTGACTATAGTTGATGAGGGCAAACCAAGAAAGTCAATAGGTCGCTCTTTGACTTCTTGTAGTTACCAAGTCAACAATCTGACCAATTTGGCCGGGATTACCACTTTATTATTACTATTATTATTATAAGAAATGGAAATTACCCAAAAACATATATGTCACACCAACTGTGGTTTGGGCCTAGCAAATCATCCACGTTTAAATCATCGGTTGGTGCAACGCCTCCAACATTCCATGTACTTACAAAAACCCTTTGGAACATAAATAATAAAAAATAATGTCAAAATTGCAAGGGTATATTTTGCTAAAAGATTATTGGTGGAAAACCAACTACTACTAATGACCCCAAAAATTAAAGAAAAGAAAATTAAAGGTGGGATTCAATTATTATTATTGCTTACTTGTAGCTTTGGGTTTCTTGGTGATGGGCGAGAATGTGATTTGAGCTAAGAGATTTTTGATGATCATCATCAAACCTAGGAGGAATCGCCTCTACCAAAAATTCATCCGAATCGTCACTAATACTTGGAATATCAGCGACGAAATTATTGCTTCCCAATCTTTTCTTGAGGATCTTGCTTGCCACCAATCTTGGCCACATAACCTTCCTCACCCATGCAAATTAAAACATACAACTATATACTTAAGCAAAATATATATCATTATTAATTAGATTTTAATTAAGGAGAACTTTGATAGATAATATAATCAACCATGCAAATTAAATGTTCATCATCCAAGTATAGTATGTACAAGCACAAAAAAAAAAAGTACTAAGTGAAAATTTTAATGTGATAATCATGCTGCAATTAACCAAAAGGGCTATGTTTGATCAAAAACCTTAGAGTTTTGATCACCTTAGCTGGTTGGGAAATGCGAAATTCTCAGACATGTGTATATATATATATGATTGCATGCAAATCAAGTGGAATGAGAGAAAGCTATAGAGAGAGAGAGAGAGAGAGAGAGAGAGAGAAAGGGTATGTGTGTATTGATGTATATGCTTACCTCTCTCTTGTTTCTTGGCATGGTGATGAGTGAAGGAGCTTAAAAGGGAATCACCCAAAGAAGAAGAAGAAAGAAGGGGTTGAAAGGCAAGAAGGTGTGAAGATAAAAGAGTGATAATAATATAAGATGGGGAGGAGGGAGAGAGATAGAGACCTTGTTGGAGGAAAAGATGGCTATTTCGCAAGTTGGAATGGGAGAGGGAGACAATATCAGAGTGAGGGAAGGTGTGACGTATTGTTGATGCTTCCCACCATGAAATTACCTACCCATCTACGGAACATTCTACACTCTACTTGGCTCATCCATGCAAATTTTATATATATATATATATATATATATATATATATCGAGGGGAGGACCATATGAAAACAAGCTCTTGGTCAGTAGAAAATTAAGAATCAATCTCAGTCTTACATTCGAAGTAAATGTACAATTTTAATGATTGTTTTTTAAATGCGGTAGTATTATATATTGTAATGATCGCTTTTACTATGTAACTTTTAACGATATACATCCCACTTTTTCAATATTAAAAATTGCACTTTGCACAATGCAAAAGTGAGGTGCATTTAGGGTTTGAATTTAGAGTTTATTCATTACTTAACTTTAATTTTGTTTTATTATTTGATGTTTTTGTTTTACGTTTGGTTTAGTAGTTCACTTTTTACTGCTTAAGATTTAGTATTTACGATTTAGGTTTAAAATTTAGTTTTTTCGTTATATTTTTAAAAGTTATTTAGAAATGCACTGCCTATTGTTAAAAAGTAGTGCATTGTAAAATTGAAAATAATTACAATAATATCATCGTATTTTTTTTAAAAAAAGTTGACAATATATAATTACAATAATGACATCACATTTTAAAAAATGATATAATTCATTCAATTTTTACAAATGTAAGGTTGAAATTGGCTCTCATGAGAGTGTGAACCTATACAGACACACCACATTATTCTATGTCAAGATCATGTGATCGAACCATCAAAGTTTGACTAGCTCCTCTTACTTTACAATTGTATTAACAATTCCCTTATTGTTGGATACCGGCTTCAAACACCAACTCCAACCACCGATCATTAAAAGTTAAAACTTTCTTCCAAAAGGCTGAACCCCAATCCTAAGGGCCCAAAAAAATGTAATTCACACATAACAATGTACTCTCCCTAGCTAGTTATTGAATTAATGGTCCTCCCAAAAAAAACAGGCTGTACATGTAAATTACAAAACTGTATAATTATTGAAAACTTTGTTTATATTTAATTTGAATTGAATATTTATTGTATCGGATTTGAACAGCAAATAATAATTATATATTGTATTAATTCATTTAACTGGAAGGAAATAACTTAAGTTTCACCATTACATGGTTTAATTAATTAATTATTTATTTATTTCCGTTATAGTTTGATTTCTAATTGATTTCTTTTTGTGTTTTTAATGCTTTTGTTTATTTGATGGGTCACCACAGTGTTGAACTTTTGTGTTTGTCCGAATGGTTTGACAGACTTTTATACTAATCTACTCCGTATCTCTTATTTCTTTATTTAGGTTTGTTAAACTTTTTGCTGCAAGTTGGTGGGACCTCATCTTCGTTATATATTCAACATAATTGTCATTAAAAATGCCAAAACACACACACACACACACACACACACACACACACACACATATATATATATATATATATATATATATATATATATATATATATATATATATATATATAACTAAGTTCCAGTGCGGGTAAATGCTTCCCATGCGATTGTGCAGGTGATTAATGTGCGTGAGTTTTGTACTTAATGTGCGTGAGTCTTGTGCTTAAGGTGCGTGAGGTTTGTGCTTAATGTGCGTGAGTGTGTAGTGCTTAATGTGCGTGAGTTTTGTACTTAAGGTGCGTGAGTTGTGTGCTTAATGTGCGTGAGTGTGTACTTAATGTGAGTTGTTGTTGAAACTTTAAAGTGCATGAGTTTTGTGCTTAATGTGCGTGAATTTTGTGCTTAAAGTGCCTGAGTCTTGTGCTTAAGGTGCGTGAGTTTTGTACTCAATGTGCGTGAGTGTTTACTTAATGTGAGTTGTTGTTAAAACTTAAGGTGCGTGAGGATTGGGCTTAAGATGCGTGAGTTTAATGTGCGTCTGTTGTATACTTAAAGTGCGCCAGTGTAATGCTTAATGTTAGTCCACCCGAACAACCGCACGGGAAGCACCGTCCGCACCTGATCCCTTCCATATATATATATATGCTAAGGATCATGTGAGAACAATACCATAGGAGATAAATAAAAACCAATCTCAATCTTACATCTGTAAAAATTTGACGGATTTGAACAGATTTAAAAAAGATATGATATTGTGATATTTTCGTAATTATCATCAATTTACTATGCAAACTTGAACACTTAAATGTGCAATCTTTAACAAACATGGTAAATTTTATAAAATCAATGAAAAAGCTAAATGTTAAATCTAAACTGTAAATGTTAGACCTTAAGCAGTAAAAAGTGAACCACTAAACCAAATAAAACCAAAAACTTAGTCATAAACTCTAAAATCGAAACCCTAAGTGCAATGCACTTTCGCATTTTCGCAAATGCAATCTTTTTAATACTAAATTTGCAAAATGTTAATACTAAATGTGCAAACCTGGAAAAATATGAGAATTGCAGATTTTAGTGTTCAAGTTGTATAGTAAAGTTTGTGATAATTACGAAAATCTCACCGCATTTTTTTTTAAATCAATTGACGTGATCCGTCTGATTTTTCCAGATATAAGGCTGAGATTGATTCTTATTTCTTTCCTAAAGACTTGTTCTGTAGTCTTCTTCTTCTTTTTTTTTTTTTTTTTTTTTTTCCGAAAGAAATTTATTCAAATCATAATGAAGAAAAAAAAAAACCTAATTCTCTCTCGTCTCTGCTTTTCGACTACTCAACTTCCTACACGGCCGCCACCTCCGTGAAGCAAGCGGATCGGAGGCGGCATCCAATCGTCTTTTCCCTGCCGCGTGCCGCCATCTCCACCACAGACAGCGTCTGCCTTCATTGTTTTCTTTGCCTTCATCATTTTTTCTTTCATTCTCCGCCTTCGCACGATTATTTCCATTTACTTTGTTTTAGTGGTTTAAGTTTGTTTGTCGTTTCTGTGTTTTTTCTCTCGTTGTTTTCAACGAGTTACTTCCTCTCGTTTACTTGGCGAGTTCTTTTTACATACAGCGTGAAACGATATAACTGGTCATGACGTATGTGAATCTCATCTTGGGTGACAAACATGACAATGAAAAAGAGACTCCTCTGAACTATGATATGCAGTTCAGCCCAATGGAGATATTGTCAATGGATAGAAGAATGGAATTGAAATAGATACTCATGTGGTGTGCAAGACTATTCAACCACTGTCAATCTTGGGTACGTTTGACCAAATCATTAAAGAAGCTTTAAGTTCTTAGCTTTCAAAGAATCCAGCTTCAAATTTGTGAAACAATCTGCGAATCAAATTTTCTTTAGCATTGCTACGGAAGTTGTTTCTATGTACGATTGTAAGAAATGTTTAACCATTCCATCGATCTTTATTGTAAACGTTTGAGCCTATGATTAATGAATTGGTGTGTTGTTCATTTTATGAAAAAATGGATAGAATTGTATAATTAAACATTTTAAATATTTTATTTAGAATATAAAAATATTTATAATAATATTAAAAATAATATTATTATTTATCAAAAAAAAAAAAAAAAACAGTCGTGGTTTCCGGCAAAAACCATAAGTATAATTTTTGCTGGAAACAGGCAGAAACCTTGTTTTGAGGAAAAATAGATGAAATGACACTACTACCCTTGATTATTACTATTATTATTATACAAGGGTATTTTAGTCTTTATACCATTTCTTTCCTTCTCAATTCTAATAATTCTATTATATTTCTCCCTACCAAACAACGTAATTTGAATTCCTACTTTATTTATGCCTTATTCTTTTACCACCGAATTACAATTTCTTTTCCCCCTAATTATTTCCTTCCAACCAAACGTCTTGTAAATCTCATGGTCAGTTGTTCCATGGTAGATATCATGGGTTACACACAAAAAAAAAAAATCTAATAATAATAATAATAATAATAATAATAATAATAATAATAATAATAATAATAATAATAATAATAATATAAAATATAAAATATGAAGTGAAATATCATCGAGTAATCCAATTCTTTTTTCAAGAGGAATCTTTGAAATAGGCAAGTAGCTGTTTATATTAAATTGATCAACATATAAAAATTGATATATTTAAAGTAATCTTGTGTACTGCGTCTTAATTATATTTGTGATTAATTTAATTTAATAGTTATTTATTATATATTCTTAATAATACTTGTTATTGAATATACATAATTTTAGAATAAGTATGTCGTTAGTTGCAATCAATTAATATTGTAATTATACCATCGGAAAAAAAAATACATTAATGCTATTTAATTAGTTCTATTTTGACACTCACTGAACTGACTTAAGCCCTCAAAAATAGTAAATAACATATTCAATTTCACCTTGTTTAAGTTGTTTGGCAATTAGTGGTTAGTAATTAAAATGTCACGTTAGTTATTAACCGATTATGTTATTTAGTTTGCAGTACTAATTGATAATATTAGTAATTTAGTACTTTATAAAGAAATTTTTGATAAAATTTGTTATTAGCAGTTAGTTGATAAAATGTAAATTGACTTTTAAGTAATATATTTTATAATAACAATTTATTAATTACACTATAATTATGTTTAATAAATAATAATAAATGAAAAATATTCTTCATAATAATAAAAATTAAAGAACATTTAATAAAATATATTTAAATAAAATTGTTACTAATTGCATTTGCTTCTTCAATAAGAAGCAATTCTGGTAAGAGCAATATATTTATTTCTTCCGGCAATAGTTGGCCAAGAAATTGGATGGTAGGACCAAATGTGATACAAATTATATAGTGATGCACCTAATTAGAAATTTTTAATATTAAAAGACTAAATGTGACTCATGTATAATAGTTATGGGACAAAAAATTGAAATTTATTCTTTGGCATTTGATTATTGCATGATCCAATTTATAAGTAACAATAAATATAAATAGTATTTAATGTTGAAAAATATTTCTTAGATTACATTTGTCACCAAATATTTTAGTGATGTGACATGATATATTGATATGTGTCATAATTGTTTTATATTTATTAGTTACTTATAAATTGACTAACTCTAGCACGAGTAAATTGTATAATATCATATGATAAAAAGTTTGGTAAAAATATTTTGATAAAGAAGGTAAGTGAAAGGTAAGAGAATTATACAAAGCAAAATAGCTTCAAATTTTCCCTCAAAATTTTATAATTCCGTAAAAATTATATATATATTTTTTGAAGCACTAAAATATATATTATTTATGGCCAAGGACCTTGTGGTCCAATGGCATCAAGTTGGGAGGATATGCCTGAGTTTGAAGAGGTTGTGTCTTCAATTCGAGTCTTAGTGGAGGCGATATTTGCTCATTGTGCTCCATTTGGTTATATATATATGAAAAGTTTTAATGTATCTATTATATCCAACATTATAATCTATATATCCCAATATCCCATACATGCATGATTATATTGTGTAAAATTAATATTATAGGCCTTCTTTATTATTTATTTATGTATTAATTTTTGAATTGGTTATTCCAATGGAAGATACTGGAGCTAGATGTCAAAAGAAACATGACAATATCTTCACTATGTAATATCTCAAACTTGATTGGTTTCATGATTTTGGTGGCTGAAACTTGAAAGTTTTTTCCTTCAATTCACTACCAAAATAAATAAATAAATAATAAAAGACTACATACGACGACAACAACAATAAGAATAATAAATTAGAGAATTGAATGCGAAAATTCAGATTAGAATTATTGTCAATCGGCCATATCATCAGTTCAAACTATATAATAAAAATGATAATAGAGATAAATTGTTGATAATTTTTTTAAAAATTCTAATTAGATTTTACAAAAATAAAATAAAAAATTAAAGAATACAAAAAATAAGTCTAATTACATGGTTCACAAGATTCATAACCGTCTCATCATGTTTTAAATTATATATATAAATCATGACATTTGACTCCATTCTTAATCCCCATTTGTTGATGTTTTACTCATTCAAATTATTTTGTGTCTTTTTCATTAAACACATGAAAACCTGCAGAGATTTCTTTATTTATCTCTTCCTTTTGGAGTATTTGCAATTTGCCAATTGCCTCTTTTTATTTTATTTGAAGTCACATCTTTTCATTTTCCATTTTTTAAATTTTATTTGTGATAATTATAAATTTACAACATGTACTGTGGACCCTTTGCAGCATGCATGCATACATACAATGTATATTTTATTTCATTTTGTAAAAAATGATGACTACAATAATGGGGTTCTTTAAAAAAAATTCATTCTAGTTCTATGCAAATTGCAAGGTGCATTGGGTATTTGGGTTGATAGAGTAAAGGAGACTCCGAACAAGGAGGAGATAATCTTAAACTTTGCCCAAATGGAAAAGGTTTTGTGGTCAAAGCTTTACCCAAAACATTAAATTCATATTTAGTTATACTTATGTAACATATATATGCATCACTTAGATATTGCGAATATAATAATGTTATATAATATTTGTTTGGTTCAAGTTTTGAAATTATCTAAGACACTGTTATATTATCATTATATCAAATTTGAGGTATATTAGAATATCACAAGTTTTATTATTATCAATACTCTGATTTTTTAATCAAATTTGTTCACTAGAAATGACAATGGGTCAGGGAGGGATACATCCACCACCCGACCCATCTTATACTTTCTTCACCCACCATTATATTTATTATTGTATTTTAAAAATTAAAATAATATTTGAAATATTTACACATAATAAAATAATAAAATTCATCACTAGTTATATGAAAACATAAAATAATATAAATATTCAAATATAATACCTAAATTGTTAATTTTTAAAAACAATCTAATTAATTTAGAACTAAAAATAGTAAAAAGTTAACCAAAGTTGTAAAAAAAACTTTTAGAATTAACTACATAATAGTACTTATTTAGCTATTAATTGTTTATTCATATATATATGGTGGATCGGGTGTGGTTCTAACTAGGCGGGTTGTGTATATAAAACATGCATCCAACCTGACCCACCACTCACTATCACCCCCAAAAAACTCGATCCATGTGGGGTGAATTTGGGTGGATATCGGTGAAGCGGATTGAAATTGCCATCTTTACCCGCTGCACAAGATCTTCCTAGTACGATTTACTCCGTACCTTTTATGCACAATTTTTATGATATTACATATGAGCGGCAGAGCGGGATTTACCTAATGCACACTCCTCAAATAGTAGTTGCATGTTTTCCTCATTCAAAAAAAAATAAAAAAATAAAAATTAAAATGTAACTTACAAGTTGCTATTTAGTTGTGCATTGTGTCAAAATAGTGTGTAGGTATACATATAGCTAGATATTGTCTTGTAATGTATAAAATTTGAATGTGATGCCAAGTTTGACATTGGAATAGTTCCTAACCCAACCTAATCAATAAACTTTGAACTTGAGCATTCATCTTACTATGGTTTACTTATATTACTACATATAAATAGATATATATAATTCCCACTTGATACATAGTATATTAAAATACTCTTCTATTGGGTATTTTAGTTAAAGATCACTCTTAGTCTTAATTATTTAAGAATATTGTAATGAATTATTATTAGCTATATTTTGTTATTTTTAATAATTATAATAAATGGTATATATAACTATCATATATATTAGGGGAAAAAAATAATGAGAAGATAGTATTTTTTTTTATCCTTGAATTATGAAGAAATAGTGAACTCAATTTTTAATTATATTACCCACCACATTTGGTCGCTGAAATTTTAGTGTTGTGGCAAAATTATGCCGAATTGTGATAGAAACATTCATCTTGACTATTAAATAATGTTTGAATATTACTACATGGACCACAATTTTTTCACCATCTTCATGAAAATAAAATTCTTTTTATTTAGAAAAAGAATTTATTTATTAATCAAATATGAATTGCCAAGTAGAGTGTGATATATATGATGACATCTCTATTATTTTCCATAAGGAATGTCACAGGTCTGAGTTTTATCTCAATCAAGATATGTAGACATATGAATCATATATTGCCAAATCAATTATTGAAAATTTTATCTTTGGCTCTGTTTGGCAAACCTAGCTGAAAAGCTATAAGCTAGGAGCTGAAAAGCTATAAGCTCGGAGCTGAAAATTGAAGAGCTATTAAGCTAGCTGTTATGATTGAAAATGTTTAGTAAAATTAACTTTTTGATAAGCTGATAAATGTAAAAAGACTAAAAATGACATCTTCATAAAATTTAAATTAGTTTGTTTACATATTAAAATTTAACATTTTGTCTTTAAAAGAAAAATTAACATTTTGAAATAAAAGTATTATAATAATAAAAGTATTAGCGTAATCATGATCTAGCATCTCATAATGAAGTAGCAATATTGTTACAAATCTAATAATAATAATAATAATAATAATAATAATAATAATAATAATAATAATAATAATAATTGAAAATTTTATTAATGATAAATCATTTGTAAATTTAAATTGCAACTTGGTTTTTGAAATTGATAGGCACGCAGGAATATTGGCTAATTGAACCATAACGCAATTAATTAAGATTTTGTCGATAGTGACCATATATATCACATTATCATGTTCCAAATAATAATAATAATAATAATAATAATAATAATAGTAATAATAATAATAGTTGTTTTAATTTTTACAGGGACAAAAGTTTCGAGCACATTATCTTGTGGGATTAGATCAGATCATATTGTAATCATAATAAATTGTCTTAATTAATTAAGTTTAATTACTTCTTTCATCATATATTCATATCCATCAATCACCTTATTTTTTCATTTTGTATTAGAAAGAAATTAACTAATCAAAATTTACAATTAATAATTTGTTTTAATATGCATATCGACTAATTAAATACTTTAAAAATTATTATTACGCTAAAGACCTAGTAATTAATTTAATGGTATAGGCTTGAGATTCTTCATATAAAAGTCTTGATGAGATCTTCTAATGACAATTCGGGATGCGGACAAGATGGTTACATACTTACATGTACTACTGCAAAAATATATTATACTCCCTATAATTATTATGTTATAATTAAATAAAATATATATGGTATAATGTTAATTAAACATAATTAAGCCCAGCCAAGTTAGTTTGACTGTTGACTTGAGTACTACAATGTTACAAATTTGACTCCAAACAAGAGTGGTTTATTGATCTTCTTGGTTTGAGTCGGTTAACAAGCTAATGTTGTTTTTAATACTCCATATAAAAATGAGCTAACACTAACCAATTACTTTTTTTTTTTTTGAATGCTATTAGTTCTATTACAATGTAGTATCTGTTCATATACTTTCTCAACCTAAGGCTTGAACACACAACTTTCTAAATAAAAGTCAAACCCGGATACCATTAGACCACATAGTCTTGATACTAACCAATTGCTTTTAAATTCAATTCCTCACAATTTTTTTCAGTCAATGGGGATAACTTATGGTGTAGTATTTTCTGTTAATTTAAAATGTTGTGATTATAATTTATTGGCCACGATGATGCAAACATGAACTAGACATATCGCAGTCCAGTATGGCATAAAATGAAAATCATAGGTTCTTATTGGTTAGCTATCAAAATCACAATCATCATTGTGACATGAAGCCATTAATGCATAATGATCTAAACTTGAGATAGACATATCACTACCCAATTCAATATTGCATCCAAATTATAAACTACACCGTGTGTGTATATAAGTATATATACATATCGCGCGCATGAGTGTGAGTGTGAGTGTGAGTGATGAGAAAAAGTATACGTCAGACAATAATTGAACTTGTAACCTTTAAGTACAAGGACCATGCTCCATCGACTCTCAATTATATATTTTGAGAATAGGAACTATATATGTATATTTTTAAGATATGATGTACTCCATAAATAATTTAGACTATGAACTTAAATTATTCTTTTTATTTGAAATAATGAATAATTTTACTCTGTATTTTACTAACTCATCAATATAATCAAGGCTGACTGATTCCAATGAAATAAGGTATTTTGCGATAATTTAATAAAAATATCTTTTATATAATTGAAAATATAAATAAAAACATAATATTTATTAAAAACTTTTGTCAAGATACATAACACTCAACAAAAATACAATATGAAAATTTCACTTTAAATGTAAAAATCATTCACCAAACTTTTGATATAAACTTTTTTTTAAAAAAAATTTATTTTCAATTACAATCAAAGTCAACCTATCGAGTCTCCCTAACAAGCAACATGTTTGACGGTAAATACGATTTAAACAACTTTCAATTTTGATAACACTAAGGCTACTTTATCACTACAATATTCTATAATTCCGACCATATGTTACAAGGTAAAATAATGCCCAGATAGGTTATAAAGCCAAATTAAAGTGGAAATTTGAGTTTTAGAACTAACATAAATAGTAATTACAAATCCCTTGTGCGGTTCATAAAAACATCATCTTCAAAGGAGAATATAACATCCCAAATGAATATATTATAGAGCAATACCAGGAAATAATACATGAAAATGATGCATATATGCTTTCATAATCTCCGCGAAACAATGTTTTGCCACAACTTCATTCCTCAAGAACGAAGAATGTGGCGAGACGAGGTCCAGAGTTACACGGAAAGCTCATTTCGGGAGATTAGAATACCATCAGTATCAGCGTAAAGCCATTCCCCATCGCAGATTCTGGTCCCAGCGATAGTTATTGGAACGTGCTTTTCCCCGATACCCTTCTTGTTGGCTTTCATCGGATGGGAAGCCAAAGCCCGCACCCCGATGTCACAACCGTTGATCTCATCCACGTCCCTTATGCAGCCGTTGACCACGATTCCCGCCCACCCGTTGTTCTGAGCTTGCACCACGGGGTTGCCACCCAAGATTGCGCACCTCAAACTGCCACCCCCGTCAACAACCAAAACCCTGCCATTGCCTTTCTCCTCAAGAAATTCGCGTACCAAAACGTTATCTTCAAACACTTTCAGGGTGACAATTGGACCGGAGAACACTTGGCGCCTGCCATATATCTGGAAAATTGGCTGGAGAGCACGGAGCTCCCCGCTCACAATTAGCTGTGGGTTTGCGTCACATACTTCTGCAGTCGTAACCAAGGCCATGCTACGAAAAGCGCCCTCTGAGAAGTTATTAAAGAAAAAAAAAAAAAAACGAAAAACATGAATATTGAAGATCGATTGTTGACAATAAGCTTTCATCAAACATGAATGACCGAGTTTCTCAAGCATTCAGAAATAGGTAAAAGCTACGTGCCCTCGGTGCAAATGAAATCAAGATTCTAACTTCTTTCAGAGAGTAACACAAAGCACAAAGCTTTTGCAATTTGGGCACAAGAGAAACTTCTAATAAGAGTCATGCCTCGTGACAAGGAATTGGGACCTTAGATAATATTCCTTTGGGTAATGAGGGGAAAGACATCTTTCCCACAACAGAATACTTTTAAGACCTCAAACTAACCCTTTCTTTGCCAGTATTCTGGCATAGAAACACAACACAGGCTGGCAATCGGTTTACCTGCTTTTCAAGAAAAGTTTTTCACCCCAAAGAAACTAAAAGTATTTTCCACTTTTCCAACAAGTTGTGCACATCATAACACTATCAATACACAAAAGGGGAAAAAATTATTAAAAAAACAAAACAAAACAAACAAACATGGGAGCATACCTTGTTTACTTCCTATTGTCATAAAAAAAGAAGAGTTGGAAGCAACCCCAGACAAGTTGGTCAAGTGATTGACTTGGTAACCACAATGTTACAAGTTTGACTCCCAGCATGAGCAGCCTATTAGCCTTCTTGGTTTAATTTGAACCAGTTAACTATGGACAACCTAGGTTTGTTTACCTCCTTGTGGTCCTTTGACGGCTAGGATCACAAGGCGGGGTTTACCCAGTGCACACCCTCAGATAGTGGTTGCGGGTCTCTCTCATTACTCAAAAAAAAAAAAAGATTGGAGCGTATATATCTACAACTCCCCCTTCATCACTCCATTAATGTCTAAAAATTAAGATTTTAAAGAGTGGATGCAGACCAATGCCCTAAAAGTGTCCTAAATGATATAGTACTTTAAAGATTTCAACTATTAGATGATGGCTAAAATTTCTTTTAACAATTTTCATCGTAGATCTTAGGAACAAGACCAGTAAACCACTAAAACCAATAGGCAAAATGGATATTCTGTATTGATTTACAGCCGGATATATTGAAATTCAAGATCACAGTGGCCTTAAAACAGGGGTGCAGGTTGATCTCTCGGGTTGAAAGACACTCTCCAAATGAATCAGCTTTATCTAGCTTCTTTCCCGTACTATAACTCCCCCTATTAGAAGAAGCACCTAAGAGCCTCGAGAATATTTAAAATAATAATAATAACAGCAACAACAACAACAAGGCTCCCGTAACTTATTGCTGACACTGTACCCCAGAACTGGAATGTGCAATTTAGATGAATATGAACTCCGATAATTCTTTCAGAATAATCCCCTAAACTAAGGCTGCATAAATGCGACGAAAAAAACAACTTGGATTCTATACACTGTCCCAAGGATTGCAACTATGCAATAAGGAAACTGCTCCCTCGATTTGTTAGACAAGTTGGACTACTAAAAGCTAATCAAACCAACAAAATATCTCAGCTCAATATTTTTCAACACAATCCTTAAAGATTAAAGCAGAACTGTTAGTACCAAAAGTAACTTCTACACTAAAAACAAATAAAAAATACAAAACCCATTAGTGAAGTGATTCATAAGAACCCTAAATCTGAACATAGACATAACAAAGCCCACTTTAAAGCTCCACCGACAATAAATTTCATATTTTTTACTCTCCCCTGAGCAAGAATTCAGCTCACTTAACACAAAAAAAACCAATCACTTCAAATCTTCATCGTCCAATCAACTGAGCTCCAACGGGAGAATCAACTAATATAGATCAAGTATACAATCTTATTTTTATTGATAGTTAATAGTTGATTTGAAACTTGTCAGAAAACGGAAAAAACCAATTAATCAAAACAAAAGCAAGCTAGTAATAGCCACATAAAGATCATAAATTTATGATTTTTTTCAATAAAAAAAAAAATCGAATAAAATAGTCCCTTAGCCACCGTAAATCGGTGTGGGGAATTCGGAAGGCGACCCAAATCGCATCCCGGATCACGGAACATTTTGCAACACAGTGAGAGATAATGATCTGACCGACAATTATAGAGAAAGAAAGAAGGGTTACCTGGAAATCTTTGATCAGAAAATTCTGGAGATACAATGGTCGGAAGTTGCAGAAAAAAACAACTGACTTTTGGTGAAATGAAATGGGAATACGAGGTTCGGGAAGATTGTTTGACGCGTGACGACTTTTTCCTATTTTGGGAAATATGTTTTCACCCCTTTAGTTTATTAAATTACAAATTCATACTCTAAATCTCTCAAATTTTCACCCATCTAAAAGGACAATCTATTTTGGTAAGAGCATCACCATCAGCTTAGAGAATCTATATCAGTTTATTTATTTTTAATTATTTTTGTATAATAATTAAGAAGCTAAGTAGAAGAGAGAGGATGGGGAGAGAAGAATAAAAATGAGGAAAAAAAAAAGACTAACGTAGCAGCCGGCGCGTGCAACTATTGTGCGCGAAACGTACGTGCTTTGCGCATTTCCTCTCCTTTTTCTCTTTCTTGGGAACTCGCAAAAAACTATTAACTTGCAGGATATCAAAATGTCTTCTCTCTCTTTCTTCTCTATCCTTCACCTCATATTGGACCACACAAAAAATCAAGAAAAAACTATAGATGGGGTTGCTCTTAGTTACGATTTTTGATGACCCAAATAGGAGAGGGATGGGGGAAATAGAAGAATAAAAAAAAAAGGGAAAAAAAAAACAAAAAAGCTTATGATTTGACGCCCCAAAAAGGCATAACGCGCCAGCCGGCGTGTGCACGCGCCCGACTGGGCGTTTACTGTGCGCAAAACGCGCACAACGGTCTTTCTTCCTTTTTTTTTTTTTTTTCTCCTTATGGACCACAAAAAAACCTCTATCTTGTAAGAGTTTAAAATACTCTCTCTCTCTCTCTCTCTCTCTCCTTCTTCTCTATTTTCCACCTCAGATTGGACTAGGAAAAAAAAGCTAATAAATTTTTTTTTGATGTGGATGCTCTAAATAGATGAAATTGTCATTCCTAAAGCCATTGGGAAAGATAAAAGGAGGGGCGGCGGAGGTTTTAAGCTTTCAAGGTGGTTGTCAATTTGCGCCCGACTGGTGCCACTGATGTGCGTAACTCCAGCCGTTTCATTAAAAATATATGATATTTCTAATAATTTAATTTGGACTTTTTGTTTCAAGATATAATCTAAATAAAAATAATGAATTGTTTATAAACGACCAATCTATGAACTCTAAAAAAATAATTATGGTGTATAAAAATAATGAAGTATCTATAAATTATAAGAAAAAAAAATTAGTCCCCCAAAAATTGAAGGCCTTGTATCATCTCCCTAGCTAGGGGTGAAAATGGGCCAGGCCAAGCCAGACTTTTAAAAATTAGGCCTGGGCCTGTTAGGAAAAGGTAAAGCCTAGGCCTGGGCCTGGGCCTGTATGTAGGCTTTTTTCTAGGCTCAAGCCTGAGCCTGCAGTAGGCCTGGCCTGGCCTGAAGCCTTTTTAAAAGCCTATTTAGTAAATAGGCTTTTAAAAAGGCTTCAAAGTAGGTTCTAAATAAGCTTTGAGAATATTTAAATAGGCTCAAAGCCTATTTAAAGCCTACATTTTAAAGACTGTAAAACATAATAATATTATTAAATTACAATCAATAAATAATCATAAACTATAAAACCAAGCTTATATTTTATAATAAAATGTCCAACAACACAAGTTTAATAAGTAGGAGTTCATAATACAAAAATCATACAAGTTTGATAACTTCAAGTCTACAAGTCCAATGTCCATAGACCATAATACAAAAGTTCATCACAAATTCACAAGTTTAACAACAACAGAAATCATAAGTCCATAATATAAACATGAAACATTAAACATAATAACAACAATAGTATTCAAACATAAAATTAAGCCATGGTTTCAACATAATCCCCTCTTGTCCAGAATTCTCCTACAGAATATTACAGAATAGTAAAGTTCAACAGAATTCAAGAAGTTCAAGTGCTCATAATTCATAAATCATAAATCATAAATATTAAAGTAACAAGTAGTAATATAAAACAATATAAAATATTAAAGTAATAAGTAGATTCTTACCTTTTGTTTTTTCTTCAGCCCATCTAAATATTATAATTTATAACTAATCAATTTATACTAAACTAAACTAAAACAAAAGATTATAATTTATTAGCACTAGCAGTATAACTAAACTAAAGATTAAAATAAACTACAGTATATTAAACACTAACTTCACTAGCAGATTACCAGGACTATGTGGTCTAATGGTATCCGGGTTGGACTTCCATTTGGAAGATTATGAGTTCGAGCCTTAGTGGAGGCGTTATTGGTTCTTTGTGTTTCAGTAGGTTGAGAAAGTATATGAACAGATACTACAATGTAATAGAGCATTCAAAAAAAAAAAAAACTTCACTAGCAGATTAGCAGACGAATAGCATTATATAATAATTAAATATTAAATATATATTATATATATATATATTATATATATATATATAGGCCTGAGCCTATTTACCTAAATAGGCCTAAGCCTGGTCTTTTTATTAAACAGGCCAAGCCAAGCCAGGCCCTACATAGGTCAGGTCATAGGCCCCTGGCCTATTTACACCCCTATCCCTAGCGAACTCACACCAACACTTCTACTTGTTTGTTTGTTTGTTTTTTTTGTTTGTTTTTTTGTTTTTGTTTTTGTTTTTTTTGTTTTTGTTTTTTTTTTTTTTCACTTTTCTAAATCTCTTCCTTTATTATTATTATTATTATTATTATTATTATTATTATTATTATTAGGTGCACAACTTATTTCATTTCTTCTCTCCTCTATCATTTCTCATCCATATATGTAATTAAAAAAAAAAAAAAAAAAACACACAACAAAAAATCTTGGTCAAAGTACCTATAAAGTCCATGTACTATAGCATTCTTATGACCTCAAAATTCATTTCGTGAACCAAACGTGTTGTTAAAGTACAATGACTCAATTGAACAAAACGCTATAGTACAAGGACCTCGTAAGTACTTTGACAAAAAATCTTAATGTGGATGTTTTTAATATTATTTATATTTATTTGATTTTTTGTAATTCATTTTTTTTTTTGGGTAAGAAAAGAGGGGTAACCTAGGGGACTCAAAGATGAGCAACCTCTTTTGTTCGATGGGATTCTTCTGGTGTATCTTACCCCACATTGGTCATGCCAAATCACAATCCGAGCTTCAAATGGTGGGTATGTCAAAATTTTCAAGCCTCTACCGTATAAGAGGGAGCACATTACGAGGACATCGACCACTTGATTTTGTTCCCGGAAGATGTGTTGAACCCGCATAACCTCAAACCTCTCAAGCTCCGTGATGCACACTCGGATGGTGTTGTGCCTCTGTCCTTGTATGTCGCTGCTACTTCGGAGACTTTCTACCATGGCCTGAGAATCATCAATAATGAATTTCTTGGTTCTATTAAAAACCATTTAATCAATTTATCAATTTATAAATTAAAAAACTCCTAAAACTGTAAAAGGTAGTGAAAAGGAATTTTATTTTTTATAATATTTTTTTTACAATAAAGGAATGGCCCAGATATTATATGGGCCGAGTTAAAATTATTGAAACTCAATCTACCTTAAAAGGGGTTAAACGACGCTCTAAAAGACAGCCCAATCATTATAACTTTGTAGACGATAAATAAAAATAATATTATTTGTATACATAAAATAATTTTAGTATATTAAAAAATTACTGTTTTTTTTAATGATCCACATAACACTATGTAAACCATGGTTCATACAATAAATTGTCCATTTTTACTTAAATTTGGTTACTAATTTCAACCTTCTTAATATTCACAAAATTAGGCCTGTCAAAGCGGGCTGACCCAACCCACTGCAAACCTAATTTCTTGCGGGCTTTTACGGGCCAACCCGTCATGGCGTCAAACCCGCAAGCTAGGGTTAATGTGACCCTAACCTGCCCCATGCATGCCCAGACGTTATGCCATGGAACCGTGTTCACCGTTCATAGTGAACACGGTTCCAACGGTGTTAGTGCACCGTTATTTTTTTTTCTTTTAATTAATTACGGGACTGCCTACACATTCACTTTGGAACCATGCCTACACATTCACTTTGGAACCATGAGATTATGAATTTTCTGTTATGAGATTATGAATTTTCTGTTATGCGATTATGAATTTTCTGTTATGAGATTATGAATTTTCATTACATTCATAATTTCGGAGTTTCGGACATTCATAAATTATGAATTCATGCATGCACATTTACTTTGGAACCATGCCTACATATTCCCGTCCGAAATCACGGACATTCATAAATTATGAATCTATGCCTGCACATTCACTTTGGAACCATGCCTACACATTCACTTTGGAACCATGAGATTATGAATTTTCTGTTATAAGATTATGAATTTTCTGTTATGAGATTATGAATTTTCAGTTGTGAGATTATGAATTTTCTGTTATGCGATTATGAATTTTCTGTTATGAGATTATGAATTTTCATAAAATTCATAATCTCATAACAGAAAATTCATAATTTGATCAGTAACGCGCCGTTAACTCCACATCCGCGAATTTTTTTATTTTTGCCTAAAAACGACATCGTTTTGACTTGTGTTCACCATTCTCGGTGAACACGATTCCACGGCATAATTTGCGATGCATGCCGGCCCACGGGTTTTTTTTTTTTTTTTAACCTTTCATTAAAAGTTGTGCCTATGAGATGGTTTGTCTTCTTCTAGGTTATTTGTTTTGTTTTGTTTTATTTTATTTTTTTTCCGGCCTTTTACTTCAAATAACTATGCTGGTTTGGAGCATTTTCACTTCCCAAGTCTCTGTTTAATCTATAAGGATTTCATATTTATGTAGATGAAAATTTCTTTCTTAAGGTGGCATGTATGAGTTCACAATTTTCTTGGAAAATTCGATGTTGCAGACGATCAGACTGGATGAGTACGACTTCGGTGGAATTCAAAAAATAAGAACGATTGGACAACGACAACGACTTTGGAGCAGACTTCAATAATTGTGACTTTAGCTTGCGATGCCCAATTGCGGCATGTGGTTTCGACTTTGCGACGGCTCAAAAATTGAATTGGAGATTTAGAGTTGGAGAGTGAGAGGTGTGAATTGAAGAATGCGATAGCTTAGCATTTACTTTACCTTTTTTTAAAAAAATTTAAAAAGGATTTGACTCGTGAATTGACCCGCAACCCGCGCAGACTACGAGTCATAGCAAGTCAGATCCATTAAGCCCGCATTTTAACAGACCAATTTTCTTACGGTCTTAACACGTCATACCGCAGAACGGATGCAAGGTGACCCGCGTGCTTTGACTCACTTTGACAACCATACACGAAATCACGGACTTGAGGGTGCTTCATCATCACGAAAGGAATAACTAAAACAATTTAACATGGTCAATAGTACAATAGACCATTGGCGAGGAATCATTATTACAGGATTTATAGCCTACCATTCCTTTCAAAAACCCTATTTTGATCAAATACTCAGTATTCCATCTCCGGAAGGTAAACTAAGCTGCTTGTTTCTCTCTATTGCTCCTCGAGTTATAAAGTAACTGAATTATGTATTCCTCATTATCTCTCCGCAGGACAATTGATTTGTGCTGTTCTTCATCGTGAACACTTCCGTAGCGCAGTGCAGAGAGATGGGCGGTTTTCCAAATGAAGATAATCATCCTTTGAACTCTGTAATCACATTTTTTTTTCGGTTTCTTTCTCCTTATCTTATAGTTTTAACTGGGGAATTAAGCACTTTATTCGTGAACCTTGCTCATGCACGTGACGTGTTTGTTCAAATGCTTCATTGAGAAAATACCGTTTTTTTACCCAGGCGTATTTTATGTTAGATATCTATTCAAATATGCAGTAATGCATCCTGTTGTTATCTTATAATAATAATAATTTGAATTTAGTGCAAAATATTATAACATTCAGTTTAATCATTATATTGTTCTTGTTACTCTTTGCAGTTCCATTAGCTCACTGCCACATTGGATATTTTATTTTATTATGCATTTGAAATGGCTAACAAGTTGATCTTTGTGTGCTTTTATGGATAAGTTAATAATACCTCCATCTGATTGCATTTTAACTTTCAGAATCCATTTGAAGTTACGCCGGAGATGGAGAAGTTTTTGTGTGAGCAATTGTTGGATAAGAACCAACCAATAGCGGAGCGGTTCAGAGCCCTGTTCTCTCTTCGCAATCTCCGTGGCACAGCACCACGAACTGCTCTTATACTTGGTTTGTTGTCATCTGTGCAGTTTTTAAAACACCAACTGTTAAATCATTTATGACTGTGATTGCTCTTTTTCCCTGGATATTCTGCTTCTCATTCCAAACCATAGAAAGGGATTTTCCTTGACAGTTACTTTTTTATTTGATAGAGAGATGTTTGCACTGAAACAGAACATAAAGAAGGTATACGTCGTAAGAAAATTTCACAAAACCTAACAGTTAGCCAATTTTCTTTTGTTGGGTGGCTCCCTGACATAATAGAAAGAAAACCTAACTGTGGCTTTACTTTTCTAAAAGATGGAGTAAGTTTCAATGAAATAAGTTAATCCTCATGGACAAATGAGCTTGATACTTTGATAGAGAGCAAAAGAAAAATACTATGAGAAGATTTTAGTGAAACATGAGCTTTATTTTTTCTAACTCTAGCATATTGCTAAATAAAATAAAAATAATATGGAGTATTGAGCTTATGCATAAAAAAGTACAAAATATATATGGAGTAATATTTATTTATAATGGTATTTAGGTATTTTTATCCAGCGTTGAACATGGACCACCATTCAGGGAGTTAATTGTACCTATAAAAAGTTCAAAAGGGGGGTGGGAAAGAGGGGGTGGGGGTGGTGAAGGATTGGGTTTAGTGTCTGTTGGTATAATTAGGAGGGTAAAGTGGATTTCTGTGTGTTTGTTTGTATTCTGCTACACTGCTATAGGATTCTTGACCAATAATTATCCATTTATTGTATCAGTTTGTAGTTTTTACTGGATTCAGGTTGCATTTTACTTAATATTTTTTTAAGTACAATGAAGCATGGTGAAATATTTAGATCCTTATTTTTAATAATTTAATTTGCTCTCTGTAGCAACTAGGGACCCTTCAAATCTCTTGGCTCATGAGGCTGCATTTGCATTGGGTCAGATGCAAGATGCTGATGCCATCCCTGCTCTGGTAGCAGTTCTGAATGATCTTTCTTTGCATCCCATTGTTCGGCATGAGGTATCTTCTTTATAGTGTAATCTACTTGTATTGAATTTAAGTTTCTTGTGCTCATTTTTGTTCCAATGAAAATTGCATAGGCTGCAGAAGCACTGGGTGCAATTGGTTTAGAAAGTAATATTCTCCTTCTAAAAGAAAGCTTGGCGTCAGATCCTGCTCAGGAGGTCCGTGAAACATGTGAACTGGCTCTTAGTCGAATCAAGGAGCTGGATGATGCTAAAAGTAATGGTGACACCTCATCACTAGAGCCATCTCCTTTTCTGTCAGTTGACCCAGCTGCGCCTGCTTCTTGTTCCTCTGTACCACACCTGAGGTTTGTCACCTTAAAAATGGTAACTATAGCTTCTATTGGTTTCTGTATGTAATTATTTTGTTCTTCTGCCTGTAGGGAAGTTCTTTTAAATGAAGAAAAGGGTATGTATGAACGGTATGCTGCGCTTTTTGCACTTCGAAACAATGGTGGAGAGGAAGCTATCTCTGCAATTATTGAATCCTTAGGTGCAAACAGTGCTTTACTGCGACATGAGGTCTGTTGTCTCTGGCTACCTTTCAGCTGATTTGTGATTTTTAAGAAATTGGTGAATTCTGACACTTTACCATTTTGTGTGGACTAATGTTTCTGTTTTCTACTCTCTTTAGTTGGACTGTGCGGCTTCATTTTATTTAGTTTATGTTTTTTTTTTCTTATGTTTTGTTTTTTTGTTTTGTTTTTTAAAAAAAAAAAAATTATCGCGTAACCTGTCTAGTTAGTAATTAGTATTTTGCACTTTAAAAATGCAAATTAGTAACAAAATCTATATTATCCATGTGTATGTTTTCAAAGTTCACCTTCTTTTGTGCTATATTGTTGTTCTCAAAACACATTGACAAGGGTACCATGTGCATGCTACCATATCACTTTTTTGCTTTGACATGCTGTCTCATTGGCATAGTTGACAAATGTGAAACTCCCAATCAATTTATGGAAGGCAGATTTATCAAATTGAGTTAAACACAAGTACACACCACATCAATTAAAAACATGGCATATTTGAACAACATTCCTGTTGCTCTGTTTCCTTCTCTTATCAATTTAATCTCTCTATATTCACAATTACTTAACCTTGCTTATAAACTGCCCAGATATTTTTCATTCTTAAATATTAAAATCAAAGGAAAGCAAAAGGAAAAAAGAAACAGAATGCAATGCTGTGAATAAAGGGGAGAGAACATAGGTTGAGAGTGGGGGCCACTTTGCTGTCAGTTATGAATTGTAGAGTGAGCCACTAGGACAAATTGAAAAATCCAGAGAGTGCTTGAATGAGAAAAATGAGGCCATGAGGACTCACTCCCATATATATATATATATATATATATATATATATATATATTCCAAACTATTTGGAAGATGAAAAAATAATGAGTGACCCAGGGTCAATTCTAAGTCAGCCAGGTTTATCTAGCTTTGAGTTTAGTTGACTTTTAACACTGACTCAGCAGCTCTGCTGCCAGACGTAGGACCAGTCCAACTGACTGTTCTGGTACTTGTTCAAAATCAGTAATTTTTTTGTCGTTTACCCAGCTATAATGCAGGATTGCAAGGTACAGTTAAATGCATTGATATTTATTTTAATTTACTAGCTCTCCCTCAAATGGAGTCTAACAACAGCTCAACCTCTTGATAATTGGGGTCCAACGTGGCTACCGAGTACTGAGGGTTATATTACCAAAAATAATAGTGACTAGTAGTTGTCTTTATAGTGTGAATTGCCGATGAGAATATGAAGTTCAAACAATTGTTTTGATATGCCTTTTCTGTGGCAATTGGTGTCCTTTTCTTGATTTTTCTCATCTCTCTGAAGGTATCCATTCTGTTGACTTGTTTTGCAGGTTGCATATGTTTTAGGTCAGTTGCAGAACAAAAAGGCTTCAGATGCTTTATCTATGACACTTAGGAACACAAATGAACATCCTATGGTTAGACATGAAGCAGCTGAAGCGCTTGGTTCTATAGCAGGTTTTGCCACTCTCTTTGCTAGATGTATTCTTTTGAACCTAATTTGGTATAGTAACTATAATTGGTTTAAGCATGGATGAGATATACACTCAAACATCATTTTATCTTCTTACTTGTTTTCTCTTTGTTTATCATTTGGTTGAAAGAAACATGCTTGCAAAATGTAGACTAATATTGCAGATTGGCCCATCGGTTCATAATAACCCATTGACTGATGGGTTATAGGTCCATTGGATTTTTTTTTTTAAATATTTAATTTTTGTATTTATTAATAATAATAGTGACAACAAAGTCCATATTGCACACATCTTCCTTCCCTGCATATTTTGCACTGAGCCCAACCTTTTTGTTGCCTAGCATCAAGATAACGTGTCTTTCTTTTTCTTCCCTTTTAAATATATGTTTTTACATGTACTCTAATTACCTAAGCAGTCTATATAATTTCAAAATGCAACCTAACACATTTTCTCATAGCAAGACCACTTGTCATAAAAGTAATTTGTATGACAGTGATGTTGCTCAAGTGTGTTTAATCCCATTGATTTCTCTGTTTCAAAAGATAACATAGAAAAATGAGATGAAATCCTGAGGTAATCTTTTGATACTACAACAAAAAGAACATTTCATAGTGTTCTTTTTTTGTTTGTTTGGACTTGCGAAAATAGTGGGTGTATAATTTAGATAGGACCTTTTGTCAAATTTTCTCATATTATGGCAGATGACTATTTCTAGTATGCATGAAGAAATTAAGAAGAATAATAGCTATTGGACTATACTGTGGTGTTCTTGGTTTTTGCAGTGAGGTTGAAAACTTCTATTTGTATTTCTTTCAAGCTAATCTCTCACATGACCATTGCTTCCTTTCCCTTACCTTTTACGTGATCTCGTGTAGATGACCAATGTATTGCTCTCCTTGAGGAATTTGCCAAGGACACTGAGCCTATTGTTTCCCAAAGTTGTGAAGTTGCTCTCAGCATGCTCGAGTACGAGAGATCAGGAAAATCCTTCGAGGTAACAATCAAAACAAACTAAAAATTATTTGAAAGTTGTTTATATTTAGTGATTGATGAGCGCAATATCCTTGCTTGTTGCAGTTTCTCTTCATGCCCGCACCTCAAAGTGAGCAGGTCTCGTAATTCATTGATGATCAGAATGTAGCTTCATTTTTTATGCAGGCATGGTTAACAGGTTGGCTATATTCCTTGTTGATTTTTAAGTGCTTATTTACGGTTCAGAAGAGTCCAAAGTGACTATTTTACACTCTTAGACTGACTAATTGCAAAATACTAGGCCTTACTCCCTTGATGCCTTGATATAATGTATTATTATATAACTTTTAATTTTTTTTTTCTTTATAATACTACAATATACACTATAATATTTTTATTTCGTATAATCTAGGATTATACTTACGTGTTCACTGATTCAACTTGCACCAGATGAACATTATGAGTTCAGAAGTTTGTTTTCCCTAAGCCTCGTGAGAGCTTTATCTACATGAAAGTATGAAACCAACGTACCTACGCACTTTCATTATAAACTATAATATCATCCTTAAAAGACCTAAGGAATTGGAATCGGAATGGGTATCAAATACTTGGTAATGATAATGAATTTTGGTGAAAGTATTTAACATGTTTGGTAGTAGGGTGGAATGAGAATGGTTACTAATAGTAGTGCTTGAGAATGAATAAGGGAATGAAACCCTTATTGTATTTGGGTATGAGTTTTTCAATTGATGGGATATTCGAAACCCATAGTAATGTTCTCAAAACCTATCAACCAAACAACAATCACTTTCATACCCATTCCTATGGGCAAAACCCACCAACCAAACACACCCAAAATCTTCAATATAGTTTATTAAGACTAAGGTGGCGTTTGGTATTTTGGTTAGACACTACATGAACCAAACGCCACCTAAAATTTTGTTCAGTGATCTATAATCCACGAGCTGAGATTATGACATTTTGCAAAGTGTGGATGTATCATGTATGATGCACCAAACTCTCAAGGGTGACCATTTTTATGTTTCAGACATCTTTCATTTCAGGCAAAAACTTGTATGAGGCGGTCGGATCTTTGATTAATGAGGTCAAAGATCCGACCCGTTTCACGAATTGAGACCCGTGATATGGTCTTGGTGTGTTACCCTTCATCTCAAGAAACTTGTAGAAATTCCATAAATGTTTTAAGACCGTTTCTTAATTTAAGAAAATAAGTGATTTATCTTCTAATCTAATACTCCGTATAATAATAATAATCTATCTAATCTAAAAACATAATAAGTGTGAATGAAAGTTATACCCTTCATTTATGTCCACACGAATGTTACTACTTCTACATTTATTGTGTGAATCTGAGAACTTGTGCACGCCCTTGATGTTGCATCTTCCAATGAACATGGTGCATGAAAAAGTCAAGTCAACCTAGGACGGGGTGTACAACGTGTGTGCATTGTGTTTGCAGTGCACTACGCGTGTGCAACTGTGCATTGTGTTATAGGTGATATGCATTGTCCGCTAAACTAAATAAAGGGCCAGATTAGTTCTCAGGTTCACTGATTAAGTTTCTCTCTGTTTCGAATTATGTTTTCTCCATATTTCGTTTCACGGAATTAAGGCTTCAGGCGGGCATCAACTTGGTCTTGCGATCATTTTCCCCTCCGAGATGGCAATTGCTCAATTGGAGCGGATTAGGTCTTGGATTTTTATTTTAATTTTTAGATTGTTCTTTTGCCCACTTTTTCGGCATGGGTTGTGGAATGATTGATTGATTGATTGATTTTTTTTTTTTTTTTTTTTTTTTTTTGCACATGATTATTATTTTTGAAATGGACAAATTTCTAAGCATGTTATAGTTGAACTTTCCAATTCATCTTGAGTTCAAGTACAAAATCAATCAAAATTTCCTCTTCAACCAAGGAGCCAAATTTCCAATCATGTGTATGGTTTTGAAAATTTGTGGTCATTTTACGTCAAGTGATTTCTGAATTTCTGTTTTGGCATTTTATAGAAGTTAAAAATAAGGATCAAATCACCCATTAATTTCCTATTTTTCTTTCCAAAATCGCCAGTTTGTGACCGCTTAAAAGTGATTTAAAAAAATTAATGTTTTCTTGTTAGCTGGTATTTGCTTATGAAAGCTTAGTTGGATATATGCATTTTGGGTTCCTCAACCAACGATCAAGGAGTTTGAATTTTATTAATAATAATTTAAACTTTTATATTTAAGATATTTAGTTTTTACTTATTTGAGTTATAGTAATTGTTTATTGTAATGTAATTATAAATTGAGATTTAATACTTATCTTTAGAGTGAAAGTTGAAACCAATTACTTCAATTCATACTATTAAAAAAAAGAGAGAGAACTTATTCAAGAGAAACATCTCGATACAAAACATGAGTTATAAAACTCATAATAATAGGAGAAAAACACTATAAAAAATAGTGACAATTTCTCTAACATCCTCAAAAATCAAACCGGAAGTTGAATTACCTAACTCTTGACACAAAGCAAAGACAATCTAATAGCTTGACTCCCACCACTCCTCTCTTTTAGCTTCCAAGCACTTTAATTGACTTGATCTCAATTCATACTATTTAAATTCTATAAAATATCATAGAAAATTTATTAATAGACTTGCAACATTATTCAATTGACCAATGATTTGGAAGAACAAATTTCATTTTAAATTCTCAACTATTGTGACATTGTTAGATTTAATCACTCTTTTAATTTTACTTGATTATATTATTGACTTTTGTTTGCTTACAATAGTTAGTCTTCCATTTAAAATTTTGTCATTCAACCGTCTAATAAAAATTACTAACATGTAATTTTATCACTCAAGCATCTTACCTCAACATGTAATTTCTCTCTTTCTCATAAATTTTTATAATTGAACGATGAAATTTCATATTAAACTTTTTTTTATTAATGGTGAAATTTAAATGGACTAATTGTGACAAATAAATCCTTTCAAAAAAAATTGTGACAAATAAATAAAAAAATTTCAAATATGTAATGAGAAAAAATTAAAAGAATAAGACTAAATATGTTAATATCAAAATAGATGATAACTAAAAATGAAATTTTAGAGATGTCATCAAACTACTATATAAATATATTAGAATGTCTCAGACTAAGTTTTATTCCAATCGAAGATGTTTGACATATCACGTTGAGTATTCTATTAAAAAAAAAAATCATTGCAAATTATTTACTCCCTAGTCCCTACTACGCAACAAGAACGCGTATACGGAGCTTGTAGACACGAAAGTCCTATCTGGACTTTTAAGTCAACTGGGACATTCTGATATAGCCAATTGCTTACTTCATACAAAAAAAAAATATATATTAAAATTTGTGGCAGTTATTAAATTATATATCATTTTAAATAAATTATTTGAGATATTTTTTTTTTCTAAAATTACTATTAACAATCTTTGTCATATAGTAGGTGATGGGAGTTAAAAAATTATTTACAATTTCCTAATAGACACTATACAATTTCAAAATGGACAAAAATATGGTAGTTGGGTAGTTGGGCACTTAAGCAAGAATCTCACCTATCAGTCACCCACTAAGCAATATATATCTACCTTTATCATAACTTTATAAATTTTCAATTTTGTTAAACTATATCCTGAACCATCAATATTCTCCCTAGTCCTTAACTTAAAAAGTGATAAATTAAATTTATCTGACTTTAAATTCCACACCGAAATATATCCTTATTAATATTCACTCTTATAAGTCTTAGGACTTGCCTCACAGAACTAACTTAAGTGGTAAATCACATGACTCGTCACTACTTCAACGACACGGTGGAGGGTTTGGACTCTTAAACTTACTAGATTGAAGATTGCACTCCCAAATTGATAAAAGTATAAAGATAGATCCCTTGTGCTTAGAGTCAACGAAAGTACTTAGTCGAAATTGGTTGGGTGATGACCTAAGATTAGGACTTTAATTACTCTTCTTCTAAAAAGGTTGAATCTCCAACTCCAAGAGTTCTTACATTTCAATCCAATAGAACATTTGAGGGAATGTAAATTATGATAACCCAATTATTCAACAGACAGTGCCGAATGTCGGTTCACACCAGGAGCATTTGGGAGAATGTAAATCATGATGACTCAATTATTCAACAAACAGTGCCGAATGTCGGTTCGCACGAGAAATTTACCCACTTTGAACATAATCCCCACAAAAACTTTTTTTTTAAATGCTTCTAACTCTATTATAATGTAATATTAATAGTATCTGTTCATACATACTTTCTCAACTTAGTAAAGCACAAAAAAGTCAATACCCACACTGAAATTTGAATATAAAAACACAAAGAATCAATACCTCACACGAGTTTGAACTTGAGACCTCCCATTTAAAAAGTCATAACTATATTGCTCGACCGCAAGGCATTTGGCCCCACACAAGGACTTTAATTACTCTATTACGCGCTTTGGTGGATAACCACATTAACGCGTTTAGGGAAACGTGTTGATAACTAACGTAGAACGTACAAATGGAATGCTCATATACATACACGCAATATATTGTTTATATACAGTCTCAGTGCTTAGGCAGAGAGGATAAAGAAGCAAGAAGAGAAGAGAAGAGAATTCAGAGAGAGCTATGGCTACATTTAGTGCTCATCCGGTGCTAACTTCCCCTCGAGACGATGCCATGCACCTTTACAAAGCTTTCAAGGGTAAATTTTCTTTCTGGGTTTGGCTTTCTCGACTGCAATTTCTGTGCTTTATTGCAGATTATTGATTGATTCTCCACCCAATTTTAGTGATTCCCCTTTCTTGCGCTGTGCATTTCTTTGTCTTAATTAGTAGTTTGACAGAATCAATTACTTCCTCTGGTAAAACTTGCCCTAAAATCTTAGTAAATTTTGGGTTTTGTCTCATATTGTTCTTGGATTCTTGGTTGGTGAAACCTTTGAGGTCAACTCCAAGTTAGTTTAGATGATCCAGAAAGAATTGCAATCTTTATCCCCCATAGTTTTTGCAAAAATGTAGATACTGATTATTTAAGATAGACAATAGGGCCAAATTAGCCCCTTAATTACATGATTGAGCAAATAATACCCCTAATTATGCATCTTCATGGAGATTTAAGATCTTGAGTAATGGATTTTGTGTTTTGTTGTGTTTTAGGTTTTCATGTCATCCTTCAATTTTTAATACCAAGTGTCCAGAACATGTGTAAAAGTGAGACAAAAATAAGCACCTTAATACACAATTAGGGGTGGCTTTGGCTTACCTTCTACTTGGATTATGGATTACTACATAAACTGCTTAGATTATTCAAGAATAATTGTGATAAACATAAGTTACGCGTTGGGTAACTCATTCAATAGTTTCCAAGAGTGATGAGTTCGGTTCAGGAAGAATACAATAGCTCGGCTAGTGGGGATTACTATATAGGATGCCAATCTAGTTTAGATCCATATTTCTATGTTATGGAAATGAATGAAGAATTTAAATGACTGATACAGAATTACAATAAGTATCTTACTTAGCAATAATGCGATTTTGTCTCTCCAGGATTCGGGTGCGATACTGCAGCAGTGATTAATATCCTTGCCCATAGGGATGCCACACAACGCGCTCTTATTCAGCAGGAGTATCGAGCTATGTACTCTGAAGAGCTTACCAAACGTTTGGCTTCTGAGCTTAGCGGTAAAGTTGAGGTAAAACATGAAAGTAGACATTTGATACTCTTTATTATTATTATTTTTTTGCATCTTTGGCTTCTATATGCATTGGCTTTTGATACTTTTCGTATTTTAACCTTTCAGAAAGCAGTATTACTTTGGATGCATGACCCTGCAGGACGGGATGCTACTATAATAAGGCAGGGTTTGCGTGAAACAAGCGATTACAAGGCCGTCACTGAAGTGATATGTTCACGGACTCCAGCCCAGCTTCAATACCTTAAGCAAATCTATCATTCAATGTTTGGTGCTTACCTTGAGCATGATCTTCAAGTTCTTAGCGGTGATCACCAAAAGGTTTGTCCCTCTCTCTTTCGCTCCATGTAAAGAGATGCAGAGATTTCATTTTTCTCTGGAATTTTGGTATAAACATGTTTGAAGAGGGAAAATTTTGGCTTAAACATGTTTGAAGCCGTGTGATATATATATATCTTCACTTATTCTTCCAAGCTGACTTAAACTTCTTTCTTGAATTATTTTCTCTTATCATGGAAATGAGATAATCTATTGATGTCTTGAAAACTTAAATAGTTTTTTTGTAATCATTTGTAGTTGCTGCTAGCATACGTTAGTACTCCCCGCTATGAAGGCCCAGAAGTTGATGCAGCTTTAGTACAACATGATGCTAAAACGCTCTATAAGGCTGGTGAAAAGAAGTTAGGGACTGACGAGAAGAAATTTATACAGATATTCTCCGAGAAAAGCAGGGCACATTTGGCTGCTGTTAATTCTGCTTATGAGAACACGTACAGCTCATTGAAGAAGGTGAGAAACTGAGATTACTGAATTTATCTTTAACTTGATGAAATTATCGAGTAATGCTTTTGCGTTTTCACAGGCAATAAAAAGTGAAACCTCTGGGCTTTTTGAGTTTGGCCTCTTGACTATTTTACAGTGTGCCCAGAATCCTGCAAAATACTTTGCTAAGGTACACATTTACATTCTTTGTCACCATTTTCTTTGATAAAGAAACAAGAACGAGTCTCAAAAGATCAGATTGAATGATTGCCCGCCCCTCACCATGAATGAGTCATGTTTACGTAACAGGCATTGCACAAGGCAATGAAAGGAATGGGGACAGAAGATTCGACACTGATTAGAATAGTGGTTACTCGAGCTGAGGTTGACATGCAGTATATCAAAGGAGAATACCACAAGAAATTCAAGAAAAGTCTGAACGATGCGATTCATTCAGAGACTTCAGGGCATTATCGTGCGTTTCTTCTCTTGCTTTTAGGGCCAAATCATTAGGAGAACTGTGTAGCAGTGCAAGATTTACCAGGATCTTGTGTATTTCAGTAATAAATAAGCATGCATTTGCCCAATGTATTGTAGTAACTGCTAACTAGGATCTGGACCTTAATTAGCTTTCTGAATGTGTAAAGCTTTTGTTGTTTCTGTAATTTCTAAATCTCTACCTCTAAAATTTATCTATATTTAAGTGCCCATTTGGAAAGTCGGAAAATGTTTTATGAAAAACAATTTTTGAAAAGTTGAGTAAGTTTTTAGGAAACATTTTCACTTTTTAGTTTGGTTCATAAAAAAAAAAAATCTATTCAGAGGTTATTTATTATAAAATATTAGTTGTTTTAATGATGATAATAATTATTTCATATATCAAAATAAAGTTATAAATTAAAGTTATAGCTACTCCGTATAATAAGAAGATGTAAATAAATAATTTTAACTTTAATTTATTATAATAATACAAGTACATACGATATTTTTATTCTTTGAGTCAACTCAAGTTGATCCATATTTAATTAGACAATAATAAATGTAATAATTATAAACTAAAAAGAAGAAGAAAAACAAACTTAATTTTTAAAAATATTTTTGGGTTGTGAGCCGGGTTAAGGCCCTGTTTGGTAAATGACTGTTAGCTGATTGGGTTAATTAGAGGGTATAACCAGTTGATAACATTAGCTGATTGTAGAAATGTGTTTGGTAAATTAGCTATTAGCTGTTAGCTGTTTGTTAGTGATCAAATAAGTCAAAATTGATCGATAAGCTAATATTTTACCGGCAAATTATGATGTTGAACTGTATTCACCTTGCAAGGTGGACACAGTTCCACAACATAACGATTGTATTTTACCAAACAGGCCTAAATGTTTTGTTGTTTGGTTTAGCCCAACCAAATTCATATTTGGTTTAGCCCAGCCAAATTTTTTCTTTATTCTTTTTGAGAATATTTTTGGTTAGTAAACGCTCATTGAATGCGTAGCCCAAAAGCAACATAATTGAAACAGACTACACAATCATGCTAGATTGAAATCCAGGCTAAGAAAGTGAGAATGAAAGGGTTTTTTTAGCCCAAGTTTGTGATCCACACACATTATACTGTTTACCATAATCTATGTTGTAAGGTGAATGACTGATATACATATTTGTTACTAGAATACATACTAATATAAGGTTCATTTTTATGTATTAAAAGTTCATTTTTAAAAAGTTTAATTTTGTTTTACCTAAAAAACAAAATTTCAGTACGTTAAAAATGATGAACATCAGTTATACACCTAGCAATGTGAATCATGATTTACGGTATAATTTGACATCTACTCATTGACAAAAGTGATTTTAAAATGATAAGTTATTCTCGCACAATATCCATTTTTGAATAAGACAATTATAACGTACACAAGAAAATGAATATATTTCACGACCCGCACATTATATGGTAGTTGTCTTTAACTTTACACACATTCTAAGATGCCAACTAATAAAATAATGGTGTATGAAAACGTATAAGGGTGAGAATTTTGTGTGTTTTGGATTTTCTTCCGAGAAACTAATAAAAATTCCATATAATGTTTTAGGATTGTTTCCTAAATGAGGGGTCATATGTTCGAATCTCAATGAAAGCATTGACTATTTGTGCTTTAATATGTTGAGAAAGTATGTATATGAATAGATACTACATTATAACAAAGTTAGTAGCACTCAAACAAAAAAAATAAAGAATAAAAAATTATATATTTCCTTCAAGAAGTAATACACAATTAATACTCATACATATATTATGTAAAGAACGATGTTGAAAGCATTATGAGTTTTAAATTATTTTAGGGAAAATGGCACTTTCCCCCCTGTGTTATATGCTTATAGCACTTTTTCTCCCTGAGTTATTCATGCATTCATATTTGCCTCCTCAATTATTATAAAAGTGGCGGTTTTCCCCCCTGATAATATTAAATGGACATTTCTACCCTTAAAACAAATATTTTATTTATTTCTCTTCTTCAACAAATTATTGCTTATACGTAGGGATGACCACGGTTCGGTTCGAACTGAACCAAACACTATAGCAATCAAATTAAAAAATTTCGGTTATGATTCATAACATAACCCAATATTTGGGTTTCCGTTTATTAAAATCGTGAACTGGAAAAAAATGGATCCTGAACCGTGAACCGGAGGTTCAAATCGGAACAACTACTAGCAATAGCTTAAATTAGAATTATAATATTTGCAAATAGTGTATGTTTTTTTCCGCATTTATATTGACTCTCACATATAAGTATATATAATCGCGGTTTGAGTTTTATTTTGAACCGTCGGTTCACAATTTTGGATCCAATTTGAACGGTTGGTTCAAACTTTCTTTTAAAATTTTATTTTTTTTATTTTTAAAATATTCTAAATTTAACACTTAATGTATTTTATTTTTTCAAATCGTGGTTATAATTTGTTGGAGAAGAAAAATAAATGAAATATTTATTTTAAGGGTAAATATGTCCATTTAATATATCAGGGGGAAAAACTACCACTTAAATAATTTAGGGGAAAAAAGTGCTATAAGTATATAACAAAGGGGGAAAAAGTGCCATTTTCCCATTATTTTATATAAAAGTTGTTTATTATTAATATACAAAATATTTATATTATTATATTGATATATTCATGAACTTAAAAAAATATTATAAGAATTATTGTATGATAAAAAACAAAATGCACATGAAACATTATATTGATGGGCTCCAGACTCATCTAGCCCCCTCCGTCCCGAAACTATAGTACATGAATATTCACCTTTTGTCTATCGACTACGCCTTTCGGCTTGATCTTAGGCCCTGACTCACCCTCCATAGACGAACCTTGTAGAGGAATTCTTAAATTTTTGGGGCATTGGATTCTCACCAATGTTTGCGTTACTCAAGCCGACGTTCTCGCTTCCGCTTTGTCCACCGGCCCCTGCTCACGCGGAGGCTTCTCACTAAGGCGGAACGCAATTAACACATTAAGTATTATCTTTAGTTAATAAATTATATATTTATTGCAATTAATAAATACATTTAATTTATTTATAGATACATAATTGTTAATTGGATGTACATAATATGTTAGCTGACAAGTATATAATTTAAATGTCGTTTTGGATCCTGATCCACAATACAAAGTATATAATATATTAAATAGCAGGAATATGAAGAATTTTGGATAGTTAAGAGATCTAATTGTACTTTTGTTTTTAGTTGGACCCAATTACACTTTTGCATATAGTGCGGTGACTAATTTGAACATTTTTTCTACAAAGTATTATATTAGGGATAAAGTACAAATAAGCCACTGAACTATTTGGGAAACAGCAATTAAGCCATCGAACTCAAATAACCATCAAATAAGTCATTGAACCCGGAAAAAAAGAGCAAATAAACCATTGAACCCTGAAAAAAAGAGCAATTAACATTTTTTATAGATTAACTCCAAGTTTTTGCTGATTGGATTGCCAAATGTTTATTTTATTTACGTTTATTATTTTTTTATTAATATTATCCACTTGAATAGTATTATATTTTAAAATAATTATAATCAAAATAGTTTTATCTTGTCGAGATTTGATTTGTTTATTTATTATTATTTTTTCACTAGATCTTTTGTTTAAAAAAATAATAATAAATAAATAAATTAGATCTAGACAAGACAAAACTACTTTGATTATAATTATTTTAAAATATATTACTATGTAGATGGATTATAATAATAATAAAACGTAAATAAAATAAACATTTGGCAATCCAGTCAGTAAAAATCTGGAGTTAACCTGTTAAAAATGTTAATTGCTCTTTTTTTCCGGGTTTAATGACTTATTTGGGGGTTATTTGAGTTCGATGACTTAATTGCTTTTTCCGAAATAGTTCAGTGACTTATTTGTTCTTTATCCCATTATATTATTATTGTATTTATATATTTGTTGAATTAAAAATATTATAATAGAATTATTAATTGTATGATGAAAAAAAAAACAAAAAGCACACATGGAGCATCACATTGATGAGCTGAGAATGAGTGAAGTAGGAATGTAAGTTCATTGTCAGGAAAATAAAAATTCATCAGAAAAGGGTGTTGGGTTCAGTGACAGTGAGGAAAATAAAAAATCTGGAGCAGTATTGCTCTATCCCACATCTCCCAAAATCATTGGTGGACAGTGTTAGGATATCCCAATAATGGATCCATTTTCTTTCCCATTTTATCAAGATTCAGTTCTACATGATTGTTCTTGGTGGTGGAAAGGCTTGATACAAATATTATTAAACACAAAAAAATAATTAAACATTATAAAAAAATAAATAAAGGTAAAAGAGTTTAATTTGTTTGATCAAATAGTAAACAAGACACGTAAAAATGTACCAAGGGAAATGAATTTTTTGACCTTTTTTTGTCAATGTAAATTCTAAATTGAAGATGGTGAAATTTTGATAGACAAAACTTGATTTTATTTTTTTTGAAAAGTTTGGATTACTCTATATATATATATATATATATATATATATATATATATATATATATATATAGAGGAAGGTTCAAGTGCGGCAGTGCACTTAGGTGCGGCAGTGCGGTTAATTGTAGGCCATTAGATTAGATAAATCCAACGAATCACATTCATCCAGGCTTTTCCGATATTTCCGCGCGCGTTCTCACAGTACGCGAACTGCAAGGTTAAAGTCGTCATTGGGCACCAGAATATATCAAATCATAGTGTTGTGTGTTTTATGTTCATTATTGGTGCATTATTAACCTTACTGTGGTGTATTTGAGAATTCATGTTGGTGCCTTCCCGAGCGGTCAGTACGACCACACTAATAGTTATACGAATATACACCATCCATGTTATAAAATGCGCACCAAAAAAACATGCACAAATTAGATACGCATCACCAGAACGCACCACTAGGTATGACTAAAAGCATCACACAGTGTTCAGAATACACCATTGGGTGGTGAGTTATATGATGTATTTTTTGGGTGTGTTGTGTGCTTTTTGGTGTATTTTTACATTTCATTGTGGTGCTTTTTTCTAACACTATTGGTGTCTTTTGTTAACACTGTTGGTGTATACTGACAAGCGACCAATATAAATAACCACTACAATTACCATAACACCCCCCCACTTACCAGGACGCGCTTAAATCTTTAAATCTTCGGAAATTAGCTGCTGCCGTTAGATTAAGCAAAATAGACGACGCTGATATGACCGCACCGCCGCACCTAAAGCCACTGCCGCATATGAGCCTTATTCTATATATATATATATATATATATATATATATATATATATATATATATATATATATATATATATATATATATATATATATATAACAACATGAACATAATTTTTTTTTTTGAGATAATTTGGTTAATAATTTGTTCCATTTTTTGTCCACTAATTAATCATCATAAATTTCTATCCAAATTGTGGTTGGACAAAAATTTTCAATGAATAACTTTTTTTTTTTTTTTTGAAGGGAAAATATAATTTTTATTAAAATAAATGTTCAATACAACTCGGAATAGCAAACAACCAAACAGAAGGACCAATAATTAGTAAAGTGGACAACAAGTTGGCCAAAAATGAATTCTCTGGCCAATTTTTGGAGGATTATATTTTTGTAATTTTGTCTATTTTTGGATAGACACTAGACTTTCGAAATTTTTTAATTGTGTAGGTAGGGAAAAATGTTTTTTTTTTAGACATATTAGTGAAAAATCACTAAATTTTATTTCTTTTATTTAGAAGGAGTTCAATATTAATCTATTGACTAAACATGCTTATTAGTATATAAAATATTATTATTATTTTGAAACATATATAAAAATTATGATTATAATATTTACTAAATTGAAAAACGAATATATTATGATAGAATTATTGTAGGATAAAAAACAAAAAGCACATGAAACATCATATCGATGGGCTCCAGAGTTTGTGAAGTAGAAAAATAAAATAAAATAATGTATTGTCCAGGGATAGGGATAGGGATAGGGTGGGAAAATGACATCCCAGCTACTTCAGTGTGAGGATATCCCCTCAAATCTGGAGCAGTATTGCTCTATCCCAATCTCCCCAAAACAGTGAAGGACAGTGTGAGGATATCCCAATGGATCAATATTCTTTCCCTTTTTTGTTTTGTTTTGTTTGTTTTTTTATTTTATTTTTTCTTAAATCAAAATTCAGGTCTACAATATTTTCCTTCCAAAATAATAGTGAAAATAAATATGGTTTGAAATTGGTTGGAAATTTTTTCCCGACGTATACTCTTGGGTGATTTTTTATTTTATTTTATTTTTTAATTGTTACAAAAGAAAATTGGCAGAAAAGTGTCAATGGAACTTCAAAACTGAAGGTGAGCAAATTTGGTAGATAATTTGAAGACTTGGCTTGCTGTATACACAATTAGGGATGATAATTTATTTTATTTTATTTTTTCATTCATGACAGGATTCCGCTTCAACGGGGATTGAAAAAAAAAGTTGGTAAATGGGAATTGAAATAAAGAATGTTTTCAATTTTCCGTTGGGATGGGATACCTCCTCCCCGCCCTACTCTATTTTTTAAAGGAATAAAGTACAAATAAGCCACTGAACTATTTGGAAAAAAGCAACTAAGCTATCGAACTCAAATAACTCCCAAATAAGTTATTGAACCAGGAAAAAAAGAACAATTAACATTTTTAACAAGTTAACTCCAGGTTTTTACTGACTGGATTGTCAAATGTTTATTTTATTTACGTTTTATTATTATTATAATCCATCTACATAATAATATATTTTAAAGTAATTATAATCAAAGTAGTTTTGTCTTGTCTAGATCTAATTTATTTATTTATTATTATTTTTTTAAACAAAAGATCTAGTGAAAAAATAATAATAAATAAACAAATCAAATCTCGACAAGATAAAACTATTTTGATTATAATTATTTTAAAATATAATACTATCCAAGTGGATAATATTAATAAAAAAATAATAAACGTAAATAAAATAAACATTTGGCAATCCAATCAGCAAAAACTTGGAGTTAACCTATAAAAAATGTTAATTGCTCTTTTTTTCAGGGTTCAATGGTTTATTTGCTCTTTTTTTCCGGGTTCAATGGCTTATTTGATGGTTATTTGAGTTCGATGACTTAATTGCTGTTTCCCAAATAGTTCAGTGGCTTATTTGTACTTTATCCCTTTTTTAAAATTACAATTTTTATTGTTATTATTTTTAGAGTAAATACTCAAAATGGTCCATCAACTATGCCATAATTCACAAATTAGTCATCGACCATCAATTTTACTAATTAAGTCCATAACTATTTAATTTTTACTCAATATGTCACAAATTAATCATTCGTTTATGACCTTATTGAGTAAAAATTAAATAGTTGAGGACTTTATTGAGTAAGAATTGAATAATTGAGGACCTTATTGAGTAGGGATTGAATAATTGAGTATCTAATTTGCTAAACTTGATAGTTAAGGACCCATTTGTAAATTTCGCTATATATGTAATCAGAAAATCTGGTTAAAATTAAAGACTAGATGTGACAAAAAAGAAAAGTTGTACATCAAATGTGTCAAAGACTCAAAAGTTATATTTAGGAAGCAAAAATGAAAAATAACTTATAGTCTTGAGACTAAAAGCAAAAAATGAAAAGTTTATAGAAAATTATTTTTTAGACAATTTTGAAAATTATTGTCAATTTTTTTTTTTTTTTTTTTTTTTTTTTTTTTTTTTTGAAGAAAGAAATCCAAGATTTTCTGATTACATGTATAGGAAAATTTTTATTATTCTTTCTTAATTATTGACTTGTAATCAATTTGATTTCTCACTATTACACATGTGGATATCATTCCTATTAACATGAAACCTATTCAACGACAAAATTGACAAGCTAGTTGTCGATAATTAATAGATGAAAAATACATTTTACCTTTTTTTTTTTGAAAGCACATTTTACCTTATTATTTTTTAGTACATTGAATAGATCGAATTGAAGATTGGACATGTAACCTCTCACCTAAAATCACTATACTTATTATATATATTCAGTATTCAGTATTCTATTATATAGTTTAAAAAAAAAAGTTTATAGTAATTGCATTCTTTATATCTAAGTGACTTGAAGATATTTGCATAAATAAAATTAACAAATTAGTGATCATCTTATCATGTAAGGTAAAGAGATAAACAACTCGTATGAGCGATTCAATTGGTTTTTAAGTAATAGATCATGGGCAAGGATGACATATGATTGCGTCATAGCAATGATAGTGTCAGAGTTTCACCAAATGTGATAGGTTTCTTATGGACACAAAACCCTAGTTCTCTCACCTAATAGGCTGATAAGGATGTCTACAGGGTGGGACTAGGAATGAGGTCCCCGCCCCTAAATTTGTTCCCCGTTCCCTAACCCCACCCCATTCCCAGACGGGGATTGGGGAATTACCCTTGTCCCCGTTCCCTAACCCCACCCCATTCCCAAACGGGGATTGGGGAATTACCCTTGTCCCCGTTCACATGAGGATTTTTCGGGGACAGAGATTTTCCGCCTTGTATTTTTTTTTTAAAACAAAAAAATTGATATACATTTTTAAATTTTGTAGTACACTATAAAATAATATTTTATTTAAATTATACAATTAAATAATTGTATAATTGTGTGTGTGTGTGTGTGTGTGTGAATACAACTTTTCGGGGTTGATCGGATTTAATTGTCATACTTACATGTATACATATACAAGGTCAAATAAGTACCAATTTATATATATATTAATGAAAAGTTTCGATAACAAATGGATTAAATAAAAGCTTACATTTATATCATCATCAAATCAATAGTTTCCATCATTTGGGACTTTCTCATGGATGGATAAATAATCATCCAATCTCTCTCCCTCTCTACACACATAATATATATTTACATAATAGCAGAGAGATAATTGGTTTTTGAGGCAGACCATCTGTGCATGACATGGCCATAAATGTCATACATCTGGAAGTCAATCTCTCCAGGACTGATTTGCAATGTCATGAAACCTTGACCATCATAATAGAACTTCATTTCTTGTGGATCCATGTCGTCACTACTGTCGTCACCCCTCCATGCTTTGGACCCACCACCACTTGTCACAAATTGCAGTGGACTGCACAAATTCTTTATAATTATTCTTGCATGCACCAAATTATCATTTATTTGAGTCACGATAAAAACTCGCAGCTATTACATGGGACACATTTTTTTTTTTTTGTAACCCTAGTCGGCAGTGGAACATAAAGAGGTAAGCTAAGCCAACTTAGGTTGCCCATAGCTAACCAGTTCAAACCAAGATATCAATAGATCGCCTCCGTTGAAAGTTGAACTTGTAACATTGTGGTTAGCAAGTTAATAATCTGACCAGTTTAGTTAGGATTACCACCAAATTATCATTTATTCTATTAAGGGAAGAAGAAAGAGTGCAAAGTCATTAAATTAAAGATTAGTTTACTTAGCTTCAAGTAATAGATAGCTTACCTGTCCAAGCTACTAATGTGCTCTAAGCAATGGTCATGTCCATTTATGTATAAATCAACATGGTTTGCCTGACAAGAGAAAGTAGGAAAAAAAAAAAAAAAAAAAAAAAAAAACTTTCAGGAAACGTGTATATATAGAATCTCGACTCTTAGCAATATATGATTAGGGGTATTTTTGTAATTTTATCATGCCAACTTCTTTTTTATTTTTTAAAATCCGATTTAATAAATAGGAGTAAAATTTATGTTAACGTTTAGAAAAAATAAAATAAAATTTATTAATGAAATTAAAGAAATTAATTGCCTGCAAGACTGGGAGAAGTTGTGCAATAAGCTCCTCTGTGTCACCATGGTGTCCAGCACTTTTAATGGGGTGGTGACCAACCACAATCTTCCACGTGGCAATTGATTCCTTCAGTGCTGAGTCTAAGTCCTAAAATTAAAAATAATAAAACACGTGGAGAATCAAATAATATATATTATTTTATTTTATTATGGATAATTAATGTTAAATTAATTACCTTGAGAAGATTTGAAAGATACTGTTTTCTGGGCAACACTTCTCTCCAATCATATTTGTGTTTTCCAGGATCATCGAAATATTTATCTTGGAATGGAGTTGTATCCACAAAGAAAAATTCTGCCACCTCTGCTCCAATCAAAGTATTTGTTAATTAGAATTAATTAAGCAATTTTTTTTCTTGGGTCAGACCACATGTTTTCTCAGTTATGGTACACTAGGACCTCTTAAGTCTATTTTCTACTTTTCGTTCATTCCTGATTGCTGGGTAGGACCTCAAAGGGTGACAAAACACATCCAAGTTTTAAAGTATACTAACTCCGATCCTAGGTTAAACCTAAGGCATCTGATTAAGTTGAAAGAGATCTACGGCATCTCATCCATGCACACCTCATGCATCATAATACATGTGGTTAGATATCTAATTGACTTTGATTCAATTATCGTTCTGATATTTTACGAGGTCTAGGTCAGAGAAAAAACATGTCACATGTTTGGTTAAGTAAAATATAGCTAAAAGGACATTGACTATAAACGAAATTAAATAATTGATAATGAGGAGCTTAATATTAATTACCTGTATTGAGAATGAAAGATCTGAGGCATAGCCATCTGCTATCTTTTTCTCTGAGATTGGGACTTAACTGTGCCAACACATCACCTCTATAATCATGGTTTCCCAAAACTGCATTATATTGTCCCCCATAACATGCATGCACCAATGTAGACATTCAAGAGCAATACAACTCATAATTTACAACTTTTATACATAAAGGAAGTTTTATATGAGCTTCAATAATATACAATACAATCATATAAGAAATGTACAATTTTAGTAAATAATATTGGAAAGAGTACAATAACCCATACAATTAATATATCCAACATGATTATATCTGCATATATATTAATTGTCATAGTACTTTAGAGAAAATCATAAAATATAACATCTCTCATTGTATATCATAATGTTTGAGTTACAACACCATGTCATAATGATGTGAGTTACAATAACACCATGTCCTCTTTTTTCTTTTTTTCTTTTTCTTTGTTTTTTAAAGAAAAATTATAGGGAAAATGGTTAAATTGCATCAAATCGAAGTTCAGTAGACTAATTACTTTTTCCTAATAGTTTGATGACCTATTTAACATTTTTCTCCAAAATTTATGATGTCAATCCATATTAGTGCCTCTTGCATTGTGCAACTCATAAGTGAATAGAAAAGATTTTGATGTCCCCATAATATCTGGTGAAATTTTAAAACTTTCTCCAATTTTATTTTTTATTTTTTGTTGCACACAATGTAAGAAGTACGTGTGTAAATCGTTATCATAGACTTTTTCTATTATTTTAACTACAAAAAAAAAATTATAAACTTCTCTTTTAAAAAAATTAATTAATTTTATATTTTTGATTTAATGAAATAGGGTTGCATTCAGACTCTATTTGGCACGCCTAGTTGAAAAGTTAATTAAAAAGATGAAAACTGAAAAATTAGTAGCTAATAAGCTAACTAATTGAAGTGAAAGTATTTGATAAAATTAATTGTAAATTAGCTAGTAAGTGTAAAAAAGACATATTCTAAAAAAAAAAAAAAACAATATAAAAATACATAAAAAGGACAAACTAATGAAGAGTAGATGAAGAGTAGATGGGGGGTACTTTTTTTAAATTAATAAAGATAAAAAAAAAAACTTAATAATTTATTTTGAAACACCACGTGTGTTTCGAAATAAATTATTATTTTAATTCACCATATTTTATCAAACAAAATTTACAATTTATTTTTATCCTAAAAACAAAATTTTAAACTCTAAAATAAATTTTACCAAAAGAAACTTAAGCCAAGGAATAAAAAAGACAATGGATGCACTTACCACTATACCATTGCTTTTGAAGACTTGGAGCAGTATATATGTTGGTGAATGATTCCTCAAATACGGTGTCGTCTATGCCACTCAATCCATTATCGTAAAAGTTGTCCCCAGTTGATATCGCAAAATCTATATCCTTTTCTTCTCCAATTTTCCCCATCTGCAAATTAATTTCACATTTAAAAAAATTTATAATAAATTATTCGATTGGGATTTTTTTTTTATTTACTAAAACAATGAGAACTATGAAATATATGTGTGTATAGACGTATCGTTACAGATTCTTTAAGATTAAAAATAATTAGAGAAATTCACTTCGCCACGTCATTTATATTCTTTGGGCTTTCTTGATGCGTTAACTAGTTAAACATAATTTTACATTTAATTACTTTGCTCAAGTTATAATGTGGATAACTTAAATATATTACCTATCTTAATTTTATTTCATTTTATTTTATGAATAATGACACACAAAAAGAAAAAAAGAAAAAAAAAACATAGCAAAAGACAATTATAACCCTAGCCAGGCATTATGCACCGTTTGGGACCAATTCAAAGGAGATAATGACTAATGACTAATGAGTTAATGACTTAATGGCAAACAAGAATTATTGGACATGGTGGCAATTTTGCAATCGATTCAATCAACTTTTTATCCACACTTATTAATTTCTTTTAATATTCAAAGTTTCAACTTTTTTTGTTTTCTTTCAATAGTGTTACATTGTCATTTCAAAATCACTTTATGATTTTTAAAATAATTTTTAATGATTTTCTAATATCAATCAATTCTTTTAAAAAAATTATTTAATTTAGTAATTTATATAATAGAATCAACCAAACCATCAATCTATGAATAACCAATAATTTTTTAAATATTCAAAATATATATTATTTGATGTGATGCTTTCTCGATCTATTGGTCTTTTCTAGTTTAAATCAGTCAGATATGGACAATCTAGATTGATTTATCTTTACATAATTCTTTGACGACTAAAATTTTAAAATGAAATTTAACCAACACATAATTTCAAGTAGTAACTGTGTGTTTCCTTCTCACTCGAAAAAAAAAAATTGATGTACTAACTAACGCATTAAAACTTCATTAAAACTTCAAGTAAACAACGTTATACTTCTCAAAACCGTCATGGCCACATGCTTGAATAGAAATGACACATCACTCATGGCAAACAACTAAGCTAGACGGTGACGCTTAGTGAAAGTATCACCATATTTTTTGGTATCCCGCATGGAATATTCCTTTCGCCATCAATGGTGATGATTTTATTGGAAAATAATAAGTTTATTTTTGTTTTAAAAATAATTTCGTTTTATATTTTGATTTTATTAATTTAAGCAAAGAAAAAAAATTAAAATAATGGTTCATTTTTGAGTGAATTTCATTTTTTGTCCTAGATTTATAGGTGACAATATACTTTTAGTTCTTTTTCTGAACATCCATTTTGGGTCCTAGTATTATTGTGGCATGGCTAGTTTTGGTCTTCCGTCAACAAAATTATTAAAATATCGGTAAATACAAGACCATTTCGATCATTTTTATGCAAAGTGGGTTAACCCGTTATACTTTTATTTTTATTTTTGAAAAAAATTCATAATTGAAGACCTAAATGCCCTTGTATTTTACGAAATTTAAACGATTTTGTTGACGAATGACCAAAAATAATCATGCCACCACAATAATACTATGACCAAAGAATGATCATTTGGGGAAAAAAAAAACTAAAAGTGAAATGACAACTATAAATCTAGAAAAAAAAAAAGGGAATTAACTCTTCATTTTTAAAAAAATATAATTGAAAAAAATATCAGGTAAATAAGGGAGGAAAAACATACATCTCCAAAGAAATTAAAGAAGAAATCAAATAGAAAAACAAATACGCTTGAAATATAAAATTTTATAATTATTAAATATGGATGATACGTTACGCTAGCTTTCCTGTCAAATTGTCAACCTCCATGGCTCCATGGCTTTAGAGGATAAGGTTTCATCCACATTTGTGGGCAATAATGTATAGGATAATTATTTTTTAATTTTAATATGAAGGCCCTGTTTGGTAAATGACTGTTAGCTAATAACTGGTAGTTGATAGCTGTTTGGTATAATTTTTTTTAAAAAAAAATTAATTTAAAAAGTTGCTTTAAATAGCTTTTTGAATTTTAACATTTTGGAATACAATAAAAAAGCTAATTAACCAAACACTTATATTAATTTGTAAACCAAGTCAAACAAATAATAGTGGTCAAATAAGTCACAATTGGCCTATAGACTAACTATTTTACCATACAGGCCAGTTAGTTACATACAGTCTTCTTAGTATATATATAAGTTATCTGTTCATAACTACTTTTTCAACTAAATGAAGCACAAAGAGAGTCAATATTACATTTACTAAAACTCGAACTTACAACCTCCCACATAAATGAGTAATTTGGTGTTATTGGAACACAATGTCCTTGGCAATTAATGAGTAAACGCAACCAAACCGTGCACGGCAAATTAGCTTAATTCAATGTTTCCGTTTATTGAAAGTTTGATAACATATTTTTTGGAAGGAATGATTGCATTATTAATGAGCTAATTAAAATCAAGTGTTCAATAAATGTGTTTGATAATATATTTAAAATGTTGAGAAATTGTCTATCGAGGAACTTATAATAATAATATAGTGCGTTATGCAATCAACACATACAAATTATGGATGTCGGTATTCGACTTGCACGATCTAGTAAATAAGAGTAATAATGCACATATTTCATTTTTTATACTTTGTGGTGATAGAAAATTTTGTGTAATTAATTTGATCAAGTATGTAATTCTATCACTCTTTCATATATATATATATATATATATATATATATATATATATATATATATATATATATACACTAGCGTTTTGTACACGCGATGCGCGAAAATTTATGCCCAATATTAAAACATTAATAAATATAAATAATTAAAAATTATAATTTGAATTATATATATACAACTAATATATGTATTTTGTACACACACATATATAATTTATCATTCATAGAAATTTAATTAAAATATAATTAAGCATTAAATTAATATATAATAATAATTTTAATAAACTAATAATTAAAAATAAGAAAAGATATGATAGAGATAGGTGTATGGTAATAATGATGTGTTATCAATGTTAGAATTAAAAACTAACGGTGTTATAACGGTGTAAGGGTAATTTTGTCTAATAACATTGAAATGTACAACATTTAAAGTAAAATGTACACATTTATTTGCATACAAAAATAGGGACATAAATCATGGATATAACTTTAATTAAGGCTTATTATGTTTATTTATTATATATATATATATATATATATATATATATATATATATATATATATATATATATATATATAGTCACAATTCAAAGCGTTATAGGTGGAATTCACCTTGTGATCCCAAACAACAAAAATCAAACTAATTTAGATTGCCTACATCAACAAAATTGTCGAAATATTGTTAAATATATATTTTGATTTTTTTTAATACAAAGTGAGGTGACCCATGTTTATGTTGTTGAATAAATCTATAATTGAATAGCGAAATGTCATTGTATTTAAAAAATTTAAACTATTTTGTTGATGGAGAACCAAAAATGCCATGTCACAATAATATTAGGACCAAAGAAGATGTTCAAGAAGGGTTAAAAGCAAACTGCGACCTATAAACGTAAGACCAAAAATAAAATTAACTTTTTCTTTAATATGCATGCGTAACTTAATTGATTTTTGAGTGACAGAAATTTTTTTCCCAAGAGCTATAAAGAAAAGAAAAGCAACAGTTTTGATCATCAAGAACGTTTGTGTACCTGAACAGCAAGTTGAGACTGGTTGTAAGTTCCTTTCCTTCCCCAGTCTCCGACCACCAACACGCTCAGCGAGCCGCCGGCCTTCGCCGGAGGATGTTCGAGCCGCGGAAGCTCCGCCACGGCAACCACCGCAGCCAACCATAATCCTAAACTGATCCTTACTAGCACATCAATGGACACTACACCCATTTTATTTTTTTTTTCTATATGAAAGTAGTCTCACCAAACTCAGTATGAATATGGTGTGTATATATATAGCGTGCAGGCAAAAAGAAATTAGTTTTTTCTGTTCTATTTTCAAAACAGAAATTAGTTTTATTTCGGCAAAAAACGTACTGGATATGAGAGATGAGGAATGAAGGAAGAAGAAAGAAGAAAATATACGTGAGGTCAGAACAGAAGTTTCGCCTTTTGGAGTTTTATGATGCTTTAGAGCAGCGCGGTTCCATTAAAATTCGGCGTCGTCTTTATTTATAAACACAAGAAACATAATTCTAAAAGACTACTAAAAAATAATAATACTTTATAATGATAATTGAGTTCAAATCTAACTAAACTTATATACTTTCTCAATCTATTGAATCATAAAAAAAAAGTTAATATTACCTCACTAAAGTTCAAACTCATAACATCCCATTTGAAAAAGTTACTTCATGCTACTTGATCACAAGCTAAGGTCATTGGCATATTAAGTATTAACCTATAATATAATTATGGTCCACCTTGTAAAATGAATCAAAATTAAATTTCCTTCTTAAACATATTGATATTTTTATTTTTATTAATGTTTTATATTAACAGATAATAATTATTTTAGGGGGTGTTTGGTTGGATGGATTTCCTAAAAATGAAGGAAAATGATGCATGTTTTATGTTGTTTGGTTGGATGGAAAACATTTTCCATTGGAAAAAGTTTTCCTTAAGATTGAGGAAAACAAATTCCTAGCTCATCCTAGGTATTTTGTTTTCCATGGAAAACTAATATGACAGTTTTACCCTCACCATTCTTTATTAATTACTCTTATTATTATTACTAGTTTTTTTACGCGCTTTGCGCGAATGAGATAATGCCCAATAATTATTTTTAAATAAGTATTCCAAAGTATATCAATGCAATATTATATATGAGATGTTCATGCATAAGTAAATAAATGTTGAATTTGTTTATTTAAATCGGTAATTTAAAGTATATAAATGCAAGATAATATATGAGAGATTGATTATAATTAGGATATGTTTGGTTCGCACATAGGAATCGGAATTGGAATGGGTATCAAATACTTGGTAATGATAATGAGTTTTGGTGAAAATATTTAACATGTTTGGTAGTAGGGTGGAATGAGAATGGTTACTAATAGTAGTACTTGAGAATGAATAAGGGAATGAAACCCTTATTGTATTTGGGTATGGGTTTTTCAATTGATGGGGTATTCGAAACCCATTGTAGTGTTCTAAAAACCTATCAACCAAACAACAACAATCACTTTCATATTCATTCCTATAGGCAAAACCCACCAAACAAACACACCCTTAATTGTCACTAAAATAAATGTTTGCAACTTTGTAATAACGCTAGTCTAAATACTTAGTCTTAAAGCAATAGTCTAAATAAATACTACTTTTGGTTTAAATTTTTTTAATTCTTCTTAATTCTTTTTTTGGGTAGCATTGTTATTGTTTTCATTTTCAGTACATGTCTTTTTTTTTTTAATTGATAGTGTGTCATGTGCAATTAGGTTACTGGTAGCAGCATAGAGAGATTTATCATGCAATGAGATTATGGTGTATGAAGTTTTAGATTTGCCTTGTTGTGTACATGATTGAGATTTTAGTTGTAATATGAACTCTTTAGCGTATAAACACCTATTGATATTTAGTAGTGGTAGTTTTTTTATTACATGTTTCATGTGTTGTGAGATGTGTGTCGTAGGTTATCATGTGAAAGTATTGAACAAAATATTAATATTTATTATATTTGTATAAAATACTTGGTAAATAAATAAATAAATAAATAAATAAATAAATAAATAAATATATATATATATATATATATATATATATATATATATATATATATATATATATATATATATATATATATATATATATATACACCATGTTTTGTATTATAACTTTGATATTTAATTACAAGATAATGTAAAAAAGAAGACAATGAACAATGTAGTAAATATAATAAATTAATAAATTTGAAGGTAAGGAATCTTTGAATTGTAGAAAATAAAGATAATATAACTAATGAAATTATATTTCTTTTAAATTTTTTTATAATGAATATTTTTTTTAAATAAAGCATAATAGACATCTAATTCTAAATTAATTAAATGCATATGTATTATTTTTTGTTGTAGCTACTAATTTATTTAATTAATAAGAGTAATAAAGTTTCGAACATACTTTTCTTCAACAATAATGAAATCAATGATTTTTTTTTTAATTTCTATTCCTTGTTGAGACAAATTGTTTTGAGAGTTTGTCCATAACAATTGCTACAATTTCTGTCAATAGAGGATGATAATAAATAATTCAAAATATATGGTTACAATAGATATTAATATAATGATATAGTATAAATTAACTTACAAATTTCTTTAGAAGTTTTCATGCATTGATAAAATTTTGATGTGTAAACTTGTTCAATTGAAGCTAGTAGGATGTTAACATTGTCAATTATTTGGAAAATGATCCTACCGTTTTAGAGTCAATGTGTAATTGTATTTATGATTAACAACTTTGTAGTTAGGCCGCGCAGGTCTAACAATGATGTAAGAACAATTTTGTCCGATAAAAAAAATAATAGTATAATATTAGTAAAGTAATGTACAATTGTACCATTATAAAAAAAATATACAAAAAATATTAATACCATAATGACCTAAATCATTCCAATAATGCAAAAGCATAATTGAAATATTAAGTTTTGTTCTAAATAATCAGAAGAAGATTAATTAAACCAAAAAAAAAAAAAAAAACTTAACCTAAATTTGTTTTTTTTTTTTTAATAAAAAATTCAAGAAAATCAAATGATTTTAAAGTAGTTCCTGATTTATAATATTTGATGCTCAACTTTGAATACTATGTATTTAGTCGAGCTAATTATTTGACCAAAGTTTATGTTAAATTTTATATTATATATTTTTTAATACATTTTAACATATTCATAACATATGTTTAACAATTATGCCAACTTTATATTATATATTTTTTAATACATTTTAACATATTCATAACATATGTTTAACAATTATGCCAACTATACTTGGGATGAGGTTCGAACCTAAGACCTTATATAAATTAAGAGTATGTTAAGAATAATAAATATTTAACGGAATATTCCGTTACTAAAGTTTAAACTAACGGAATTTAGGGTTATTTAAGGGAAGAAAATAATATAATAGAGGGTAAATAAGGAAAATCATTAAAAGATACTAAAATCAAAATAATATGAACCATTCATTTTAAGAAACAATTAGTACCGACATTTTTTTTGTTCCAGTTAAGGGCCTAACATTATTCGCTCTTATTAGATTTGTAGATAGATATTATTATTGTTGTGTAGGGTTACATTTGTCATTATACTCATTATTCCTTACCATTCCAAACTCAACCAAACAATGGAATTCTTATTCCCAGTTTTTGAATGCTACTGACTCTATTACTATTTTCTTGGAATTTATTTTCTACTATTTTCTTATTTTCTTGGAATTTATTTTCTATTAAGTATTAACATTTTTTTTTTGAATGCTACTGACTCTATTACATTGTAGTATCTGTTCAAACATACTTTCTCAACCTAATGAAGCACAAAGAGTCAACAACACCTCCACTGATGCTCGATCTCATGACCTCCCACATAGGAGAGGTTACTACATGTCATCTGAGCACAAAGTGCTTGGCAAGTATTAACATATAATTATATTAAATGTTTTATATATATAAACATTTAATGCAAATACATCATTATACTAATAAAAGTTTGTTGGAAAATTAAGTATTTTTGGTATGTAAAATGGTCATTGAGGCAAAATTTTGAGTTGGTAAACTTCCGGATTGATGGACATTATATTATAATACGGGCACAATGTATATGGATTCCTCTTTTTATATGAAATTTAACAGGTTTGTTAGTTTAGCATTATTTCATTTCATTATGATTAATGCTACCCAGCTCTTTAAAATATTTATTTCTAATCTTCATTTTTCACATGCCATTATTCAATTAGATCGATAATTTATTTTTTAATCACAAATTGATGGGGTTAACCAATTCATGACACCCGGCCATTATTATTGGATATTTGACAATTAGTTGATTGTGTAAGTTATTTTAACCAACTGATAATATTAGTTTATTATACAAATTAAAGGTGTTTGGTAATTTGTTGTTTACTCTTGACAGATTACGTGAAAAATAATATATTAAGACATAGCTATATTGTGTAATTTATTTAACTCTCAAACTACTTTTACATATTATTATTATTGTTGTTGTTGGGTTCGTCGTCGTCGTTGTTATTGTTATTAAGTATTTTAACTTTTATTTATTATTATTATTATTAATAATAACATTATAATTATAAAGAAATACTTTTTAATTGATAATATAATTTAATATTAAAAATATAAATTCAAATTAAAACATAATAAACATATGCTTAATAATAATATTTCAACATAATGGTTAAAACAATTTTATATATATAGGATTTGGTTTTCGTGCGGGCATGCAGCCATGCACCACTAGGTATACATGAATGCATCACCATGTGTACAGAAATGCACCAGGGTGTGGTGCATTTCACCCTAATGCATTTCTGGACACGTGATTGTGCATGACGCATGGGAAGGTCTGTTTGAATTTGATCGCACGTCTGCACGCGGTGTTAGGCGTACTTTTAAAATGAAAATGCAATAAACTGATATAAATAATTTAGTTAAAGTAATTTTTCCATTTCCAACTTATTAGCATTAATAAACCAAATCAAAAAGTTTTTTACCAAACACTCATTTTAATTGTTTGACTTGATCGAACAAGCTAATGTTTTACTAATAAGCCATTATCCAAACACCTGCTATACGTTGCATCAGGAGATCGAGAATTTCATATATAATAGTTGTATTAAAACGTTTTTGTTTATTATATGGCAATATCATGATTGTAAAGTTGGGTAAAGTTTTTGGATTTTTTAGTAGTATATCTGACGGATATATTGGGAATCGACCCGATGGCGCGAAGCAAGAACGGGTCCCGGGGCGGCGCCACGTACCCGCCCCGCCCGGGGCCTCGCCACGTGGCACCCGCACGGGCCACGTTGGAGGCCGGGCCTGCCTCTCCAGGAGGCCGGGCCGGCCTCTCCAGGAGGCCTGGCCTGCCTCTCCAGGAGGCCGGGCCTGCCTCTCCAGGAGGCCGGGCCTG